CCTCTTCGAGATGTGAAAAACAGGCCAGAAGTCGGCAGTGCTCTCAGGAACAAATTAGTCCGTCTCATGACACACATCGACACCGATGTCAAGGACTGTGCTGCTGAATTCCTCTTTGTGCTCTGCAAAGAAAGTGGTGAGAGAAATATCCATTGGCTGAAATTATTTGTAGCGATGCAAAAATATATAACTCATCTCTGATGATTAACAATATCTGACATTAAACAGTGATACACAACACAGATTAGCAAGGCTGACATGAACCTGCAGGTTTTGTGGAAGAACTTATGAAGCTAAGCAAAAAGAGTTGAATTTAGAAACAAAGACAATTTAAAATTTTAAAACAAATCAGAACCAGAACGCACTAATGACAGCAGGAGGTGATGTAACCACAGGCTAAAGGTGTGGAGGCTCACTTGACGACTTCTGTTCATCACATATAATAAAAAAGCTGCTTTATGTTTTTCAATTGAAAGACTAAATATCACATTAACTGGTTGAAGATCAAAGACTACAGTACCTTTCAGACCAGCTAAAGCCAACTAAATACATTAAACTCTTAAAAGGGCAAAAGTTAACCCTCTCAGGCTCAAATTACTTGCAAAGACTAGCTAAGTAGCACTTAGTTGTTGCAAATCTGCAACATCTGCCTGGAGAGGGTTAAAAGGAACAAACATTCCAGTAGGTGGCAGTAATAGAAGATTTTTTTTAGAATTCTATTGGGAATCTGGGAAAATTGGGCAAACAAGTAATGTGGTTTGTCGCCAGCTTAAGTCAGTACTAAGATCTTCTCTTTCATCAGGAGAGATACAACCATTTTAATGTCAACATGTCTGTGTCCAGTTTCAAGGTTCATCAAGTACACTGGATACGGTAACGCTGCAGGTCTGCTGGCTGCCAGAGGCCTGCTCAGAGGGGGCCGAGACTCTGGGATCTACTCTGAAGATGAAGACTCAGAGACTGAAGAGTACAGAGAGGCAAAGCCGCAGTCAGTACCTTAAATGCAGTCAGTGCAGCTGAGTCAGAAGAGTAGCTCACACACAAGCAGTGAAACCCTTACAAACATTAAAAATGTTTTTTAACACAGATTAAAAAGTCATCTATTTTTAGATGTGAAGGTAGCAGTCTGAGAAAGATCACTGAAGTATCACAGTAAAATAATTTATGGTATTAACTAAATAACAATATGTTCCGTCTGGAGTTCAGCACCACAATTTTCACATTTCTTAGCATGTTTAAAAAATTTTGAAATTACTTGGACAGATGAATTTTTTACTCATTTAGTGCATAATTTTCAAATGACAGTTTCCAGTGTTTTTCTTGTGTTATTCCTCTTTCATCTCTGTGTTCATGTTGTTTCCAGTATAAACTTGATCACAGGTGTTGTTGAAGAGGAGCAGCCTAACCCAATGGATGGAATGACAGATGAGCAGAAGGAGTACGAGGCCATGAAGCTAGTCAACATGTTTGACAGACTGTCAAGGTCACACACCGCTACTCTTCAGAACATTTGTGTCTATCAAATATTCTCACTAGTCACTTTTTTATGTACACCTTGCTCATGGGAAGTTCTAGACAGTGGCTAAAAGGTGACAGTACCCCTGTTCTGAAGAGATAATGCTTAATCAGTTTCCTGTGATAAAACGCGCTGGCACACAAACCATAATTCATTGGTCCAATCAATCAATTTTGGATCAATTTGCCAATGTGCTATGTGTTGTGCATATCCAAGTTGTAGCAAGATGTTATTTGAGCTCCTGTTATCTTCATGTTATTTCTTTCCTATGACCAAATCAATAGTTTCTGAATTCAGAAACCAGTATGGTAGGCACCAACAGCCATGCCATGTTCAGTCACTTAAATCCCATTTCTTCTTCCGTCTGATGATCACTTGGAACTTCAGAAAGCTATATCCTCTGATCTAGTGACCATGCAATTGGCTGAATCACTCTTTGTATTAACAAACAATTAATCATGTACTTAAAGTGGTGGGTGCATTTATCTGGAGCATTGTCCTGTTTATCGCTATCAACTTTTCACCCTAGAAAAGATAAGTGAGAAAGTACAAAACCTGATATACTGTCTTGAACTGCTGCCATTTTTGGTACAGCTGCACAGTATTTAATGTGCTAACACACAGTAAACATGTGTTGGGTCTATGCTGACACACTTTTCCTGCTTTGTGTAGGACCAATTTGATCCAGCCCATGCAACTTAATTCAGATGGGAAGATGAGAGAGATGACCACGGAGGATCTGAATAAACTGGCCACCAATCCGTTCCAGTCACAAGAGCCAGCTGATCCAGACAGCGAGAATGAAACCTAGTTAACACACAAGCATGAAAGCAGGTTGAATCACCTTTCAACCTTTGTGACAACACTGCAGAAAATGATATCATACAACTTTTACCATGCTGGTCCACTTAATTTGATTGGAAGACAAGTAAAACATTTGGCATTAGTTTAGTTATCAATTGACTTCAGGCTTAAAACCTTCAACCACTTTTGATTTTTCAGAATAAGCATTCCAGTGACTGTAAATCAGGATAATCCTGCTTCTGGAAAACGCTTTCTTGATAAAATCTCCTGTTCACAGAGAAACATTTTTCAGAATACAATGCTTTTTATCAAACAATGTATGATTTTACTTTTAGAGGAAAATGTATTTAAAAAATGCTATTCCGTTTTTTGATGTGAGAGTCAGCTTTATTTTTGAAATGGAATTTAATAAAAAAAATAGGAGGATGTTATTTTTCATGACACCCCATAAATGTTTTATTTTAAGTGAAATAGCATTTACTGATAAATCTGTTTCTGGGTTAGACTTTAATTGACGTATTAAGCTATGAGTATAATCCAAGAAAATCTCTGTTTGCTTCTTTGTATTGTAGTTGAATAGTTGTTTGGACTGTAAAGTACACTTACTGCATCTGAATAAACTCTGACACTGGTATTTAGAAGCTGCTTATTTTTTCCTTACATGTCTATTAGTTGTCTAAAAGTGAAACAGGAATACAAAGAAGACATGGTGACTTTGGTAAGGATCCTCCAAGCCTTAGGTTGCCAGAATAACTATGGATTGAAATATACAGATGAACTTAGACCAAAGCTTAATGACTCTGTGTTTCATTCTTTTTTTCTTTACACCAGTGATTAAGGATGTAACGGTACATACATTTATTTATTTATTTTACGAAATATACCCAGTACAATCCTGTTGGCTTGGTACAAAAATTTACTAAATGAGTACATTGTCTTATACCTGAACACCTGCAGAATGTTTATGTTCACAACTAATTTAAAAAGTGACACCAGAACAGAGAGGTGTTTTAATGACCACTGAACTTTCTCCATCCCAGCTCTTTGTTCTCTCCAGTGGGGGCTGGATATTTTTTTTTTGCCACTGAACAGAAAAAAACCCCTCACATTGCATTGACTATTGAGGGTTTAATCAGATTACCATAAAGAATATTTACTCATTCCCTCTGATATTATCTGCTTTCAAGTGGGTCCAGAAAGCAACCACTTGTTTTGCATCTTGTCTGGTCTATTTCTATAGAGAACACCACATTCAAGACTCACTTTGGACATTTTGAGTATTTCGTCATGCCTTCCGGGGTTTTCAGGTCCTGAATATCATTCTCCATGACTATCTTAACATCTTTGTGTGTCTGAATGACACAAAGATTCTGGTGTTCTCCAACATCTTGGACAAACACCAGGTCCATGTTAAAAAAGTCCTCCAATGCCTTCTGGAAAATAACTTCTTTGTGAAAGCAGAAAAATGTGAGCTCCATGTGTCTTCTATCACTTTTTTGGGTTACATCTCTGCAGGTGGCCAGGTGAAGGTAGATTCATAAAACGTCTGTTCAGTCCAGGAGTGGCCCATCCCTGATTCCAGGAAATAGATGCAGAGTCTCCTAGGGTTCACAAACTTCTGCAGAGATTCATTAGTGATTTTAGACTGATTGCTGCTCTCTTCACTGAACTCATCTCCACAAAAAAAGTCTTCACCAGGGCCCCCAAAGCAGACCAAGACTTCTCCTCATTTCCCTGACTCCTCATTCCAGCTCGTTCTGCAGGTAGATACTTCCAACAGTGAAGTTTGGGACCAGTTTACCCTTCTGACCTCCTGCAGTACTGACCTCACTGGTCAGTACTGTAGTACTGACCAGTGTCTATACCTGAACACCCAATAAATATTTATGCTATTTTGTAACTCACCTCACCACAATCAGTCTACATCACTCCTTCAATCTGTCACTTGCTTCTCTGACTCCCCACCTCTGTCCGTCTCACACCACTGTTCAGATCACCTCCTGGTTCTGTTGCTCTTGATTCCACTGTGACAAGCTGCTGAAAACACCAGTACAAAATCAACATCATCAGAACCGTTCACCCGCTCTCATCTTCAACTTATGCACTTCTCTCCAGATCACTACATTCACCATCAGCAGTGTGAGCAACCCATCTCCTTCCTCCACACGCATCATTTTTATAATTCTGCATATCTGAATTAATCCCTCACCTCTTCCCCCACACCAGTTTCCCTCACCTGCTGTTGTTCCAGACGGTTCAAAATAAACTATTTTCACTTACCTCATCCATATGGCTGTAATTGTGGCCTGCATCAGTGTCAAACTGGGGAATCATGACTTCGGATAAACCAAAGCTGCTCTAGTTTGATCAAAATGGAAAAGTTGAAGCCAAATTTATGTAAAGCTTGAGTTTAATCACCCTGAAAATTAAATAGACCATTTGATACAGTTTGATAGTTAACAGCAGAGAGAATAATAGTTTGATTGGAACTGTTTGCATCATATCAAACATTTAGAAACAGTTTAATAGATTTTAAAGCTGATTGCTGTAAAAACTTCTGAGTCCAAAAATCATCACTTATCAAGATGTTCAATGTCTAGAGTACAAATTCTTTCCTTCAGCTTCTTATTAGATTATTAGTAACAAACAAGGCAGTAACACAAGAATAATGACAACAAAATGAAGTAGAACACATGTCAATACATTTTTTTATTAATTGATAACAAGTATAGGTATAGATTTACACTCTGTTCAAACTAATTTGATTTACGCAATATTGTAAATATTCTGTACGTGCAAGTTGAAGAGAACATATCAGTTTAGAAAAATCCCACGTTGTTCCTCACAGCCGCCCTGAGAGTTTCAAAGCTAAATCACAATGTGGTGTTGGTATCTCACATAACATCAGGTGACAAATAAAGACCAGGTGAACTACTAAGCTGGTGAAAAATTTCCCCTCACAAAGTAACAACATGACTGGTGACAAAAAATAAATCACAAATCTGACCATCCATTACATCCATTCATGTAAAAATGTGTTCCCATATAGGAACTGTAACAGGAAATTCCTTTTAGATCTTTTTGACTTTGAAGGATTTTACATGATCATAAACATTGAAACTTATGTTGCTTACTTGTGGGTTTATGAGAAGAGTCGGAATCCTAGAAAATTGACAAAAGGCAAAGGAGGACTTGAGGAGTTTCTAGCACTGTTCCAATCATCACTATCAAACTTTGAGCATTTTTTTTATCCATTATGAATCCGTTGTGTAAGTGCTGGAGCATAATTGTACTAATAAGTTATGAAGTGCTAACATGTTTCAGAAATAGAGTTTAATTAGTTTCAAACAATATTTTACATGTTTATCTTGTCTTAGCATTTAGCTTTTGATGTAAGGTTCTGCTGTGCAGACATAAGAAGCCCCACCTTCGAAAAGGTAATTGTCTCAATGTTTTGTTTCAGAGCTAACAGCTAAATAAAATAAGACATAAGACATAAGACAATTCCATTCTTTATATGTCTATGTGTTCAGTGTGAATATGTTCTTGTGAATTCATTTTTTGTTTTGGGGATCTTTGAATTTTACAGTGCTGTTTTCCTTCTAAGATGAAGATGAATGGAGAGCATTTCTCTTTTTGCTATATTAAATCTATTACGAGAGAAAACTGAGGGACATTTGAAACCAATGATTGATACTTCATGTAGAAAAGAGTTGCAACATTCCTTCATAGGCCAGCGTGTGGTGACTTTAGACTTTTAAACAACACGTTAGTCTTCAACCAGAGCCACTAAGGATAACATCTGCCTTTCCATTCACTCTTAGATTGACTACAGTACCTCCTTTCTCATCTTAAACTTAACATTGGCTGCAGGCTCGTGCTCCAGCCACACTGTGTTGTGTTTGCACTCCTCTGTGATTGGCATGCACACAGAGAGTGTAGGTTTGCATTTACAAAACACCAACTGAGTAACAAGGCTTCAGCTTAATGAACTTTGTTACTTTTACCTTTTCTCTTTGACTATTATGTTTAAATAGAACCAGGACATTATTAAATAAGCTTATCAGGCTTCAAGTGCTATTGAAGTCATAATCAGAACAATAGTCTTACATTTTGATTCTTTTAGTAAGAAAGTTTTTTTTTCACAACTAAAGCAAAAAACAGGTGAAAGTGAGATTTACTCTGCAGTCTGTACAACAAGTACTGAGGAGATGTCAAATGGCACATTAGAATAATAAGAAAAAGTCAAATAAATAGCTTTGAATCAAAAAGAATTAGGAACACAACTGTGAAACAGCAGGTGGAATGTAACTATTCTGCGTTTAGAATATTAATTGTTTTAAACTTTTCTCTCCCCGGTGAATAGTTTTGCAATGTTATTGTTAAACCTGCCCTCACTGTTTCTTAGTTCTTCATACATGCTGCTGTATCAAATATATATGTAGTTTATTTTTAGAAGGCTTTATAAAAATCTACTCCAAACAAAATGCTGGTTCAAACCATTGAGAAAAAAAAAAAAGCCAGAATCTCTACTTTATTAACTTTGTTGAGACTTGAGTTGTTTTAACATAGCAAAATAAAATACAAATAATAATAATGAAAAATAAATAAATAAAAACAGTAACATTAGTTTGAAAACTTTTTTGTTTCATCAGAGATAGTAAAGGAGTTATTTACTGCAGCCAATATTCTGATGGGTCATAATCATAATTCCATGAACTACTACATAAAAAACAAAGGCAGTTTTTGAGCACTTTAGTTTTATAGGTTTCCTGGTCAAATGCAGCTTATACAGAAACCTGCTAATTTCTAGAAGATTAAAAACTAAAAACAAGCAAAATATTATAACCATCCAGTTCACCGTTTGAAGCTTAGTTTTAAATGTATAACAAGAAAATGTGGGTAAAATGTGTAAATAAATATTATTGACATATACTGAAATGTTGAAATATAAATACATTGAATGAGTCTTTCTTAACAGTACATAAATCCATATTTAATGTTAAAGGTCAGGTGACATGAAACCCAACATGCTAGTGATTAAAAACTATATGTTTGATAACAAAATAAAAGTATCAAAAAAATCCATTCAGCAGACACCCTTTGGTGCATGCTAACTAGCTCCAACTAACATTTTGGCCTTTTGGCGAGAACAAGCAAAGACAACATGAATCAAATCATAAAATAAACTGTTGACTGAATTTCTGTTATTGAATCCAATAACAGAAATGAGCATAATCTACGTTAGACTCATCCCTCCAGTCAAAAACGTGCAAGAAGATTATTCATCCCAGGAATTAACTGTGAAGCTGGCCTTGCCCACACTATGATGAGAAATACAATGCAGCCGAAAAACAAAAACAAAAGAGTAGGACATTCACATGGGTAGAGATTCCTACCCGTGTACTTCCTGACGTCAGTGACGTGACAGAGCTCTTCCAGGTCAGACTGTTGAGTGCATCAGTCAAACAGACAGGGCTCAGTTCTGTGCTCTGCTGGCTCAGCCATCTTTGTGTGCTGTCGGGAGAGAGTCTCTCCTTTCCCTTGTGGGTTATCACCCTGATCCAGTGCGACAGATCTGTTTTTCTGGGAGGATGGGCTTATGTGGGATATCTCTGTGGATTGAGAGCCAACTGGCAATGTGTTGTGGACTTTTTCTTGCAATGGTGAGGAAGCTGAGATTCTGGTTGGACTCTTTCTCTCAGATGGAAGGTTTACAGGTAACTTTTCCATTTTCCTGGGTAGTACGGGAGGTCTCTCTATCACAGTAAAAGTCTTGCCAGCTGAAGTGCATCTAGGTACTTCTACCTCTTGTGAAAGTAGCTGCTTGGTTGGAGGCACTGTATTTCCACAGCTTGCTTGTCCTCTCTTTGCTTCCTGTTCATCCGTCTGACTCTTGACCTTCTTTTCATCATCCAGCTTGTTTTCTGTGGCGTAGGCTGTGGGGATGAACACCAGGCACACAGATGAAAACATTAAATGACTAATTAGAAGAAAAAACAAACAAAATGGCTGACATTATTCTCATCAACTGCACCATGTGCTTCATCTTCTTTGCAGGAGGGCAGGTCCCAGCGATTGCCCCGGAAACAGATGGGTGACTTCTGTAACACAGCCTTGAGTTCTGAAAGAGATCAAAATTCAAAGTTAATTTGTGATGTAATTACCGTGGAATATCAAACAAGGTTGTAATACTTCTGTTATAAAAACCATAACTCCACCTTGCGTCATGGTCAGTGCCTCCTCATGGACAGACACAGCTCTGCGCTGAGGAAGGGGTTTCAAGTGTTGGCGTAGTTTAGGAAGACTCTCTGAAAGAACACAGCAATAAAAAATATCCAAACAATGATCTTTCTCTCTGATAGAGGAATTGAAATAATAAACAAAAGAGCTGGAGGTGACCCAAGGAGCTCTCACAGCAGTCTAGAGGAGGACCTGGAGATAGCATGAGAAAATGAGAAATCAACTGTATCACAATGACTGTTATGTACAGTCACTGAGCACGACTCCAGTGCTGAAGAATAGGCATACTGATGCTTATTTAATCATTGCAACAGAGCATTTGGACAACCCCATTAATTTTTTAAGTATAAAGTCTTGTCAGATTAGGTTAAAGTTGAATGTTGCCGATGCACAAACCATGTTTGGGGGAATATTGAAAGAAGGAGGAATGTACATGGGAATTTATGTTAGGAATCTAAAGGTGAAACTAGTGTGAATTTCTAAGCAAGACAATTGGCCCGAACATACAGCCAATGAAACTCTTATTGGTTCATGATAAACAAAGTGAAAGTGACAGAAAATTTCTCTTGGTATGTTCAATACTTATTCTCTTTGTTAATTTCAGAACCCATAATTTCATTTGTGGACTATTATGCTTTGATTTTCCTGTATATGTGAATTGCTTGGGTTGTTTCAATATTTGATGTGACTAGTATATCAACAGTAACATAAGTAATATGTTTACCATAAAAAACAAACACTTTATATTGTCCTCTGCATGTATTTAAGCATACCCTCAGTGACAGATTGTACTTTCTCGTTGCGATCTGGTGTGCCATCACCTCTGCGAGATTTTGGGACTGAAGAATGAAGTTCTTTCCTTGGAGACAGGGGGGGGATTTCACCCTGCACACCGTCCCTGCTGCCATTCTAGAAATGAGAATCAAAATAAATGGACCGTAATTCATTTAGACAACAGTTTCAAGTAGTTGCAAGGGAATTAAACAATTTAAATATGTTCAGAAATATCAATAATAATATTGATAAAATTCACACTTTTTTCTATAACTGTAAAACAATATCAGTCAACATTCATACAAACTTGTATTTTCTTTTTATTAAGTGATAAAAACAAATGCTAACTCAGTCACGTCACTGTGCATCTGCCTTGTACTTGAGTAGTGCTGTTTTAGGTTAATAAGGCCAGAGAACTTGTGAAACTTTGACCCAGCCTTACACATAGTTACACATATGCTACTTGGATGTTACAGCAATGAGACAATCACATTACTTAATGTCCTCTGATGTTCTGCAGACTCTCTGTCACTTCCCCTGTGTCACTTCCTCTCTCTCTCAGTCTCTTTCTCCCTCCTTAGCATGTTTTCTTCTCTCTCCCCTCACACTGGTAACCCATTAACATATCAGCCCAGGTCTTTTGTTCCAGCATTCACCGTCACAGTATTTAATGTTATGTGTGAGAATCTTGAATTTTGATTGAATATATTTGTTCTATTTTTGTAATGATATGAATTGTCCGTTCTGACTGGTGCGTTACCTGCTCTGTTTCCATCGGCCTGCCATCATGTGTGTGAGCTGTAAGATGGACTTGCTCTGATGAGCTGGTGAAGACAGGAGCAGAGGAGGGGCGAGCAGCTGGGATGGGTGGGGGAAGTTTGGCTGGTAAGGGAGGTTTAGGGGGCAGGGGACTGATGATGCACTCAGGAAGGGAAGGCTTTGGATAAAGCGGTTCCGGTCGGTTGGGGTCTTGCACTCTCAGAGGATGCCTGGACTCAGCTAAAAACAAAAGTTGAAAGTAAAATGATACAGAATCACTGAATGGATAAATGTTTAACAGCCATTGTAACTGCTAAAGGACAGCAGTACACCTGCTCAGGATCTTCACCCTGACTCTCCAGTGCAACAAAAAGTCTCCAAACAGAAAGAAACTGATTGGACTCTATCATTTGTACCTGATGAAGTGGACATTATTCTGGACTTGATGTCTTTGGGAGGTAGTTCAGGTTTGTTTAGGATAGCACCTTAGGGACAGAAAGAGAAGACAATGCAACATATGACAAGGTAATCTAAACATGTCACTGAGAAACAATTCATCTAACCTAAATCTGTAGCTTCTAAGTTACTGTCATTCAATGTTAGCCCACAACCCACTATATATAATGCTTATGTTGCTTATGAATAAAATCATTCTATGCACAGCGAGACAGCAATAAAAAAGGGTGGACAAACAGTGGACAAACAGTACATGAGGCTATTTCAATTTATCTGCTCACAGAAGCTGAAGTGCTGAATTGGTCCAGCTTCATCCATGTTGAAAGTAGTAGGATAAGACCTGAAACTTTACACTGTGGAAATGAAACTAGGTGTACTGACAGCTAAAACATGAAGCATAGAGGACCTTTACAATAAAGGACAACTTGCTTAGATGAAAGCAGAATACTGTGTTAGAATAGCCTGGTCAAAGTCAAGTTCGACATCCAAATCAGAATCTGAGGGAAAGTTACTGTTCATTGAGAATCTCCATCTAAAATGCCAAATCTATTTTGCTGCTATAGACTTGGTTCGGAAAAGTGCCAGAGTCAGAGTATCCAATCAGTTCAATAAAAAAAACAAAAAAACAAATGTTACAGTTCCACTGAAACCCAGCTCAGTGTAAAAAAGGGCCTAAATGTCCAACACTGGTAAGAAATACAACAAAAGAAGGGAAGCTCAACAAGTAATGACTCCGAAGGGCAGTTTGGTCTGGAGCTCATCTAAATATGAATGTAAACATGCAAGAAGCAGACAGTTCATTTTTGAAGTGACATTTTTTCTTAAAATATGTTTTTTTATCCTGAGTCTAATTTTCCATCAGAAATGGAATCTGTCAGTGAAGTTGTAAATTTACCTTCAGAGGTGGCTTTTCTCAGCTCCTCATCTTTATTCTGAAACAGACACATTAAACAACATTATTTTAACAGTAGGACTATTTTGCAGAACATTCTCATCAGAACTCTACAATCTGTAAGGTACTAAATTAGGCAATAGACTGCTTCTCACACTGTATAATTGCAGGAACTGATGAAGGAGCTGTGCTCAATTAGCTTAAAGAACTGAGCAGTCTTTCAAAGTCATGTGAACCAGAAATTTTAATCAAGCAATCTGTAGGTACTCTTCAGGGGTCAAAATTAATCACAGGAACAGTGTAATGAGTATTTCTTTACAACTTGTGTAACTGACAGGTCTTCTCAACATTTAAATGACAACTTCAGGCCAAATAATCACAGGCATCATGGAAATAAAGTTGTTATAGTCTTACATATAACTATGGAACCTTGAAATCAGAAGAACCATTTAATTTAAGCTAAATTAAGTTTTGGGAAAATGTGCATGAAGGGAAAAAACTTGCCAGAGGTTGTGTCCACACAAGGGATGTGCCATATCGCTTTGTTTATGATAACACTAGTGGCTTTTTTGACTCTGGTGAAAACATTTATATCACAATATCATTTAACTGAGCCTTACCTGTGCAATACCCAAGAGCCTAGACCCTCTGTACAAAGCAAACAGTTTTAGACAAGGGGCTGGTTTTTACTAAGCTAATACTTCCCTTATTGTAAATATCAACAAACTTCTGTCCAGTTCAGACTGACTCGCTTCTTCTTTGTTTTAATGGCAGTTGGAGGAATTACTGCAATGCCTGTGTCCCCGTCCAGCTTCAGTTAAAGGATGTCATCATTTGATATAGCAATATTAATTTTTCCACCAGTATCATAAAATCTACTGGTATTTCCGTAAACAAGATGATATGGCACACCCATAGTCCACGCACACTGACACACACTCCTACCCTGTCTACCTGGCACATCTTGGTTTCAGCAGGTGGAGTTTTGGACACTCCCATTCTGTGCAGCATCACCTGAAGCCTCTGTTCAAAGCCAGGTGTGCCATCGGATGCATGTTTCTGAAAAGCGAAGGGCACAGATGTGTTCATATGAATGTTATTGCACAAAAGCATCGCGTGCACCAAACCGGCAACACACAGAAGAGGTGCTTCAAAACTAGCAATGTCATATGTCATATGACTTAAGTAGATTAATTGCGTAAAACCAAAATGTTTAGATGTTCTTGCATTTCTTATTTGTAGCAAATCATTGTGATCCCCTCTAGCTCTGCAGTATGAAGTAGAACATAGGAGTATTACATTAGAGAAGAATGAAGTAATGTAATTTACCGGTAACAAGAATGTGAAAAGAAAGCTAATCATCATCAAGCCTAGTTTGGTTTTGGTAAATCTAACTGAAGTACAGCCAAGTCAAGCCAAGTTTAACTAATCCTTGCTCACCTCTCTTTGTAGACTACATGGTTGATCACAGATTTCTTGATGCAAATAGTGAGCTTCTTACCTCACTTTGTTGCACTTAAGTTGAATAATAGTGAATGTTTCTGGAGCCTTGCAACCCTAATGAGTATGAAACTGTTTACAAGCCAGGTTTAATCTGCCATGTCTGCTGATAACTGAACACAACTACAACATCTTGTTGATGAACACATCAACAGACTCACATCTACACTGAGACTGCAGCCAGGTTCCTTACACAGCAATAAAACAGATACATTCATGAAAAATATCATTGTTACTTAAAGGGTGAAATTCAACTTCAATGTCATTTTGATTGATTTAAATTACTCTTGTTTTTTTGTTTAACCAGTGTTGTGCATCTGTAATAAATGTGAATCATTCTGTTTGTGCTCCAATAAATATTTATGGCATTGGTGACCTTAGTGTGTTGTCAGACTGACCTTATTGGGTGTATTATCCTTGTCGTCTGGCTCTATTCCTGTCAGCAGTATGAGACTCTGGCTCTTGTTTTCTCTCAGTCTTTTGGTCACCCTCAGTCTCCTCTCCACATATGATGGAGCTTCTCCTTCAGCTGGTGTTGTAATGAATGCAGGAGTGGTACTGAGGGGTGGTGTTACAGGAACTGCTGCTTGCTCCGGTTCAGAAAGCACAGAGGTGGTGAGTTCAGGGCTTGTTGTGATGGTGGGGTAGGAAGGAGTCATCTTTCTGGATTGCGTTGTGCTTAATGACTCAGCGGGGGTTACTGTTTCCCTCACAACGTCTGCAAGAATGCGGCCGGGGGCGGCAGTTCCTTCTGTAGTAGTGGCATCATTATAAATGTTAGCATCCTCCTCTGACTCCTTCTCTCTTTCCTTCTCCCTCTCCTTGTCTCTTTCCCTGTCTCTGTCCCTGTCTTTGGCCTCCCGTAGGGGTCGAATGAAATCTGCAATGGAGGCCCTTTTGACCTTGACCCCTTCAGCTCCATGTCCTCCATCTCCACTGCCTGTCTTGGCAGCTCGGCCTGCTCGAGCCCTCTTGAAGGGGAAGAAATCACCAAACTTTTTCTTTATATTTTTTGTAGGAATTGTGGTGGTGGTGGAGCAAGTTGTGGATGGGAAAGTGGTAGATGAGGAAAGGGAGCGAACATCAATGGATGGAAGGGAAGAGTCAGTAGATGTGGCAGAGGGAGAGGTGGTGGGAGTGGTGGTAGATGGAGTGATGTCAGATGGAGAGGAAAAATGGGTGGAGCTTGGTGCTGTGGGAAGGATTTGGGCAGGGTTTGATTCCTCCCATCGGCCTTTTCTGCAGTGGGGAGACAGCAGAAAGAGCAACAGAAGAAAGGAGACACTCAGTACTACAACTACTGGTTCAAGAACCAAGTGACATGCTCTACTCCGGTTCACAAAACTAACACTCATGCAAATGGAAGACAAAGCAAAATCAACTCTCAGAGATCAGGATGTTTTGTCCCAGAAGAAGCAAGACTTGTAGTGTGTCACGTCTAGAAGCCACACAGCGGAATGGCCATTAGGACCAATTATTTATTGTTGATGGTGTCACATGTAAGGACTTTGAATTTACCTGGTTTCTTGAATTGAACCAACTCTGCATGACTACAGCTTATATGTACACATTAATGGAAGGAACCTATATATGATCCAAGGTATAATCACGAGTAAGAATATTCTGACTAGGTGTCATTTAGAAGTGTAATGTGAAACTGGTTGATCAACACTTCCGACTGTGCAGTTGGAAGTGAAACAAATCCAGCCTTTTTCCAGTCATTGAACACACCATATATAAGCTCCACCACATCAAACAGAAATGCTCTTTGGTGTGGATGCTGTTGCTGATGGATGAATATTCAATTTAGCTGTTTTCACATCATGGAGGTATTTAAAGATGATATCAAAGCAAACACCTGTCTTGTTAAGACATGTCTGCTATTCATTCAAGCTGCAAGGGAGTGAGAGACAGCAAGACTTGCAGTTAACAACAGGAGGGCTGTTTTTGAAAATCAGTGCATCTCTATGTTTGTTATCTAAAAACTAGATTAATGCTTCTCCCATTGGGAGAATTTGTCAATATCATATCTATCTCCAATACCCAATTTTTCAAAACTTGCTATATTTTTCTAAGCTTTTAATTCACGTATTTATGCTGTCAGCACTGCCATGCTATATTTCATCATGAAATCATGACACTACATTTAGTAGTTTTAAAAAACTAGAATCCTTTGATACAGGGACATTGACATCACAAACATCAAACGTGAGAGGAGATTAGAGTGTAGTGACCAGGGGTTAGGGTTAGGGGATGACAGGAGGACAATGGAGGACATTTAGATCAACAGAAGGGTAGCTAATCAACAAGCAGCCACCTGTCACCTTAAACATCCTTTCTGGTTATGACAGTAATATCCACTTTCAGAAACCCTGAATATCCCACTGAGGGACTCGCTCAGCCATTTCAGAATGAATCATGCAAACTCCACTGACACAGTTGGAGGACCAACTAAAAATGATCAACTAATTGATTCACACTAAAAATCCGCAGATCAGTCCGATATGTGTTATACTGAATAATGAGTATAACTCCTTTATATCTGCCTTCAAAGTCAAATTTGAATTTAGGATGTTTGCAACAACTTTTGACCCACATTGAACTAAAGAACAATTTAGTTCAATTTGTTCTTATAAAATTTTTTTACTAAATTGTTCAACTAAACCTGCAAGGTTATCAACTTCTGAAGTAAATCTTAAGTGATGGTGATTGGTGACACATTCTTGTCTTACTGGTACTCAGATTTGATCTCAGATTGTGGAATGACGTTTTCCCATCTTCTTTTTGAGAAACCAACTTAAGGTTCTCAACAGACCATTCTTCTGATCTTTTAACTACTTTGCCATTCATTTTGAGTCGCAAGAAACTGTCTAGTCATAGAAAGATGGTTCTGAAAAATGAGAAATTTTGGTCTCACTCTTTATTTAGGACAGATTAAGCCAACAACCTGGATGAAAAGCAATCCCCCACATTGGTTCACTGTTGTTGCGACCAATAGTATCCAATTTTTCTTCCCCAAGTAAAAGAATGTCCTCACATTCTTAACCGCAGAGAAAATAAGTTTGGAATCAGCCTTCTTCTGTCTATCTTTCCTGCAGTGTTTCAGTTTGGGCTCAGTGTTTTTCTTGTATAGAAGTACATTCTCTGTTGCCTTTCTTGCCCTTTGTCAAAAGTCTTGGCTAATGCAGATGCACTTACACTCTCCAACTGCCCATGCCAAATAACCTTTGCTCCTGGTCTCAACACGAGTTTAAAGTCCTCAATAGGAGACAGTTCTGGTGCAGATTAATTTGAGTCAGGGCAAAAGTTTGTCCAAAGAGGCTAATAAACCTATGAGCATGAAATAAAAATGCACCTTGTTTCTACAAAGTGCTCTAAAATGAAACAAAAATGGTAAGTAGAGCCATAAAGTTATCAAAACACAGTATTTATGTCACAGCAAAAACTCTGTAATAAACTGTCCTCCTGAAATAAAGTGCCCTTCTTTTGTGTTTAATGCAGAGTTTCAGAGTTGGGAAAGCACCTGAACATAGAGAAGCATTGATTGTATGCATTATGTACATATAAGGCCTACATATAGATATGTCATTGTGATTTCTTATACAATGTTAATGAAGGAATTCTACAGAGTTGCTTTTAAATTGCAATCATTCAAACAAATAATGTTTGATATTGTAAATAAAAGCAATTCAGTTTGAAACAAAAGAGGCTCATTAGTTCTAAAATTCATCTGAATGCTTAAAATAATTCAGATAGTTTGTTCAAGTGCTAAAAACTGAGCAAGCAGTTAGTAATAGATTGGAAGATTGGAAAGTCAACATTTCTCCCACATTTTCTGTTTAGACCTATATCACTGTTTCTCAACTCAGTCACCCACCATGATTAATAGTTTCAACGTAACCATATGTGAAAAAACACATCAAGAATAGGAGACACCTATTAAATGTTCAGGTCTTTAAAAAAATCTTATATCAATGTCTATTCTTCTATCTCTGAAGAAGAAAGTGATTAATTACAGATACACACTAAAACAAATATTGTATAACTAAAAAATTATTACTACAAAAATGTGTCTCTAAACTGAGAAGTTAGGACACCCTGCACTCTAATCAACTTGTCTTTACCCTTTTTGCTTAAAATAAGCATCTACCAATCTCTTATTCTCTACATACATAATTACTGCATAAGTTGTAGTTTTGACCATATCATTTTCTTGCATATTTTCCAACTCCAAGGTGTATAAACTCGAATGCTTACTGGATATAAACATATTAGCTGATATGTATTTGTTTAATGAGAAAGAGTGGAGCCTCCAGAAATCAACATCCTATATGAAGGTGTGCATAATTATGAGGCAACTCTTTTTCCTCAGGAAAAATGGATCAAAAAGAGATTTGATTAATTAAATTAAGTTTATCCAACCTAATGTATTGAGATGTTTTAACTTGACAAGTTTAAACCAGTCATACTCAAATCATTTAGTTTACTTAAAATAAAGAAGCAACTATTAAAGGATCCTTTTTAGGCTCAGACACCCTTCATTTCAGAGTAGTTAGACAGGAAATAGGTAATGAAAGAGAGGAAAGACATATGGTAAAAGTCATCAGGCTAGGAATCAGACCTGTGACAGCCGCATCGAGGACTAAAGTCAACTTATGTGAATTGAGCTTAACCTCTTTACCACCACAGCAACCAAGTCTATACAGGATCTGTCCCTAGTTAAGCTTGAGTCATGACTTCAGACATACGATACGAATGTGGTATCCTACATTCGTATGGAAATTTTCTTAATTTAAATGTCCTTTAATTGAATGGATCTTAATTTAAATATCCTTTAAATTAAGAATTTGTAACTTTTAAGTTAAATCAACACAAAAAATTAAGGTGTCATCACTAAACCAAAACACTTAAGTGATATTAATGTTTATAAGTCTATAACCCAAACCCAAATAAACTTTTCACAGAGTGGTAAATTTCTGTCTGGCTTTCATGGGTTTTCTTCTTGTTATGTTACTTGTTTTAGAATTAAACATTTCTTTTGTATCACACTGTTGCTTTAATTGATATAGTAACAGTGTGTGTTTTCTGCTGTTGTATAATTACTCACAATGCATAGTCAGGAATTATTCTCTTTGTGAAGAACTCTTCTACTCCCTCATCCACTCGGCCCATTGCCTCATTATCTTCCTTCTTTTCCTCAGTCACTGGTTCCTGTGAAGAAAAAAAAATCAAATTAACAAGGATAAAAATCTGTGTCATCAGTATTGAAGTGCCATTCTGAAGATTAAAGCAGTGATCAACCTCCTAGCATTTAGTTCCAGTCAATGTCTGATGTGACTGTCATTGTATAGTTTGTTGTAATAAACTGCCTACTTGAATTTCTGAGTGTTTACATCTCAATATGTCATTGGTAAACTTAGTCACACTTATTGCTAAATATTCCCTTAATTTTTGAATGCACAAGATACAGAGAAATGCATTCTTACTCCTTTGTGTTTGTATCAGGACTTAACCTGAGCACAACATTTTTTTTTTTTTTTACTTGAACACAACTAATTTGCTTTTTATGCATTTCCAACTTTGTAGGGCAGTATAATGCAGCAAAGATTTCTGGAGCAATTTATTTGAAATATGCCATTTCTCACTTTATATGCAGTAGCCAAGAGTAACACCTGTGCTTTAACTGTGGGTGTTGTAGAGCTCCGTGATGTCCCCACCACAGGCAACTGAAAACACTCAAGTAAAATAAGACTAAAATATATACTAGTGTCTGAATGATCAAAAATGCTAATACATGTTATGTTTTCAGGTTCACAAAAATATTATTCTAATATTTGGGGATATTTACATTCTTCTTTATTGTCTAATGAAATTACTTGGCCTCTGTTTTGTTTCATGCCTCCTGTCTGACAGCCACCTGTCTCTCTGTGCCTCATGCCAACATGATTTTTGGTCACGCCAACTGCAGCTCTGCATTTCATTGTCTCTCACACATATAATCCTATGAATAAATATCATAACCTTTACATATCCATATATAAATTTAAGAATGTTTATTATCTATTTTAGCAACTCTGAGAAATGCAAGTGATGACTGAGCTTCTCACCCCATCTCTAAGGGAGATCCCACACACCCTACAGAAAAAAACTCATTCTGGTAGCTTGTATCCATAACCTCATTCTTTTGGTCATGACCCAAAGCTCATGACCATAGATGAGGGTAGGAACATAGATCGACCAGTAAATCAAGAGCTTTGCTCTTTGACTCTCTCCTTTAAAGTGCCTGGTTCACTGCAGCCAATTCGCCTGTCAATCTCCCTCTCCATTTTTCCTCATTCCTGAACAAGATCTTGAGAAACTGAAACTCCTCCTCTTTGGGCAGGTCTCCTGACCTGGAGAAGACACTCCTTCCTTTTCTGACTCAAGACCATAGCCTCGGATTTGGAGGTACTGATCCTCATCTTAGCCGCTTCACACGAGGCTGCAAACCACTCTAGTGAGAGCTGTAGCTCATGACCTGATGAAGCTAGTAGGACTACATCTTCAACAAAAAGCAGAGACACAATCCTAAGGCCACCAAAATAAATCACTTCAATTCCTTGGGTTTTACCATAAAAGTAATGAACCGACTGTTGACTAAGGGCACCCCATACCTTACTATTGAGGAGCTCTTTAACCACCTCAGTGACCTCATTATCAGAGATAGGAGAACTTGATCCGGAGTCCCCAGGCTCCACTTCCTCAATGGAAGGCATGTTGGTGGGATTAATGAGGTCTTGAAAGTATTCTGGTCACAATGTCTCCAGTATAGGTCAGCATCACACCATCCTTACTATAAACAGTGTCAGTGATCTACTGCTTCCCACTCCTGAGACACCAGATAGTGGCCCTAAGCCGTTCGGAAATCTTTCTCCATGGCCTCTCCAAACTCCTCCCAGTTTTTACCTCAGCGAAAAACTTGCATGCAACTCGGCTGCTTCCATCAGCTGCTTCCCACTCCTGCTTGGTGCCTCTCACCAGGGGCACCTCCAGAGTGAAAGAGTGTCCAACCCCTCTGAAGAAGGCTAGTTCCAGAATTAGAAGCATGCACTGAAGTGAGACCGACAATTTCTAGCTTGTACCTCTCAACTTCACAGACCAACTCGGGATCTTTCCCTACCAGAGAGGTGACATCCCACGTCCCAAGAGCCAGAGGTTCTATAGCTAAGGATCGGATTGCCAATGTTCCTGCTCTCGGCTACAACCCGTCCCACACTGCACTCGACCTCTTTGGTACCTCCCATAGGTGGTGGTCATTGCATCTGATCTGATTCCAATAGTAAACTCATCCTTTCATCAGGTGTTTTCCCCCAGGCTTTAAAAACAGCAGTTATCAAACCACTGATAAAAAAGAACATTCTGGACAACTCACTACTGCAGAACTACGGGCTGATCTCCAACCTCCCATTCATCGGAAAAATTACTGAAAAAGCTGTAAACAGATAAATAGTTTCTTAATGATCTACAACTGCTTTGACATCTTCCAATCAGGTTTCTGTGATGACTACAGTACTGAGACTGCCCTCAAAGAGTTCAATGACATTCACTCTCATTTAGACCACGAAGTTCAGAAGTCCTTCTAATGGCCCTGTGTAGGTCAGAAAAAGACTTTAAAAAAGTTTTGTTAGTTGATAAATCACTGAAGGTTTAGCACCAGTGCGTTATTACATTAGTATTGTTTCTAAATTGATATAAACTTTTTTCTTTTTTTCTTTTCTTTTTTTTTTTTGCATTATTTGAGGTCTGAAAGCACTGCATTTTTAAATTTTTTTTTATTTCGACCATTTTCATTTTATGTAAATAAACACCAAATTTTTACTTGGAATGAACAATGTTCATTTTACTCAAACAAATACCTATAAAAAGTAAAATCAGAGAAACTGGTAATTCTAAGTGGTCTCTTGATTTTTCCAGAGCTGTATATGTGTGTACAGACATGGCTTGTTGGGCAGTGCAGACACACAGACATCCAGTAAAATGAAAACATGAATAATTGAAATAAAAAATTATTTTTCAAGAGAGAAATTGAGCAAGAGTGGTTGAACCTCCAGCTTTGAGAACAGTTGGAACGTCTGACAGTCTCAGTACAGGCAAACACCTACACACACGATCACACATACGATAGATAGATAGATAGATAGATAGATAGATAGATAGATAGATAGATAGATAGATAGATAGATAGATAGATAGATAGATAGATAGATAGATAGATAGATAGATAGATAGATAGATAGATAGATAGATAGATAGATAGATAGATAGATAGATAGATAGATAGATAGATAGATAGATAGATAGATAATAGATAGATAGATATAGATAGATAGATAGATAGATAGATAGATAGATAGATATAGATAGATAGATAGATAGATAGATAGATAGATAGATAGAATCATGCTGCTGTATGTGCTAATTTGCGTGTTTTTGATGTGTGGATGCCTGTGAACTCACCTGAGGCCTGGAGGTGGGGGGTTGCGTGTGTGTGCGCCGTGGCCGTGGTCGGGAGGCAGTGTAGTGCCTAAGAGTCTGTCCCTGACTTGGTAGAGGCTCCATGGGAGAAACAGAGACTCCAGAGCCAGGGTGGGGGCCTGCGCTGGGGCTGCAGCCAGGGAAGAGAGCCTGTCGTCCGTTTAGGCCTCCACCACCAGCTGCCTCCTGTTTTGGAGCTTAGACAGGGATGCTCCACTATCTCCTGTAGCTTCTAGGGGGGCGGCTGGGAGGAGGGCTGAGCGATGCTCCACTATCTCCTGATACTGCTTCTGCAGCATCCACTGATGCCACCTCCCCCTCCATCAGCCTCCTCCTTCTCTGTAGCTGGGGGGAGGGGGACAAGGAAGTAGAAGGGGAAAGGGAGGGACTTGAGGTTGAGAGTGGCAACTGTGGGAGCGCACACCTTCCTCCTCCATCGTCCTCTCTGGCAGCTCCTCCCCCCTCTCTCTCCGTTCTTCTCTCCCTGGTGTGTTGCTCACAATCTGCATCCAAGAGACCTGAAAATAAAGCAACATCACTGAGGAAAGGCACACAGAGGAATGGATGCAGGAAGAAAGGAAAGAAGGAAAGACTGGCACCTTAGCATTAGCCTAAGCCTAAGCATTTGATAATCTACATATATATTTCAACCTGAAAAAGCTGCATACAGAGGGAATGTGGACAACAGTGCAGCAAGAAAAATAGAAAAAGGAGGAGGAGGGGTTAATGCGGAGAGAAAAGGGGTGGGAGGATGAGTGTGGGGAGCTGAGAACAGAAAGGGAGTAAACAGAGCAGCAGATGGATGTTGTGGTAATACTGTACTAAAGAGAACAACACAGTTTTAGCATAGTGCCAAGAGATAACATAGCAGGCTCTATCAATCCTTTACTTTCACTGTGTCAAAAACAAAATGTCGAAATTGAATAACACTGAATTAAATATCTGAATCAGTCAAACCAGGAATATTATTAATGAAATCCATATAAAAATGAGTATTACTTTAATTTTTACAATAATGAGGCTTTCACAAAACAGAAGTGGGAACTGAGAGCTGTTTCCAAAATCTGTCCGTGTTTCCTTCACTTCCTTTCAGCACTCCCTCCTCCATTTTCTGGTCTCTCTTTCTCTCCACAGCTGAAAGTCAGTGGTGTGAAAGTAAGTAAGCAAGCCATGCTCCAATTAGTCAGACAATGCTGAGTGTAAGCCAGATATTGGCTACACATGGCACAAGATACATGAAGACAACAACAGGGGACTACAAACTGTTCTGGTAACACACATGATGAATTTGGTAGGACAACAGTTTGAACTGGTTAGTCTACTTAAAATTTCATTAATGAATAAAACATCTCATCATATTACACTAGCATAGCGGATTTACCAAGGTACTCATGGGATTTACTCATACTAAGGCCTGCTGTTCATCCCACTGATGCATTTTCCTTGCAAATGTGGAGTATTGAAGTTATGGCCCATATAAGACTGACATATGAAAACTCTGATGGTGATGTTCTGAGCTAGAGTTCAGAACATCACCATTTTGTTGTGGGTTTTGGCAGCTCCAGTGGAGTTTATTTTGCAGTTGTAAGACTGGAAAGTGGGTAATGAAAGAGGGGAAGACATGCGGCAAAAGTCATCACATTTCAAGTGATCAATTACTATCTGGGAACGCAATAACTAGGACTCAGTGAGCTGTTGGTTCTCACCCTTCCCATGTCAGATGTTGCTAATAGTTGTTTTGTCTTACTTTTGATTGAAGCAGCAGGCCTTAGGCTCTTGGAAAGCAAACTGCTTCTCCAGAATGCTGGACTGTACTGTAGATGAAGACAAAAAAAACTTGGAACAAAGTTAAAACTTCACCTCATAAATATGTGTTTCTGTTTTCTAAACAGCACAATAAATATGAGGAAGAACTAGCGTGTGTCTCTTACATCATCAGTTGGAAAATCACTGTCAGTCAGTCGAAGCTCTGGGATATTGATTCTTTGAGCACTGGAAGGATTTTCACTTATTAGGGAGTCCTAAACATTAAGTGAGAGAAATGTCAATGTTTACAACTGAATTTTTACACACAACAGGAATTTTCCATTCAGATCAACACAATGCTGAATATATAATTGAGTTCATCATACAATGAAGAGTGGGACTGCTGGAGGTAAGTAACTGCTGATAGTTTTGTGCCTCTGCATATTCTCAGTCACTCCAGTCATGTCTACTGCAACAGAATAAAATGTAAACCAAACAGACTTCTGCTCAGGTTGTCCTGATGATGTTTTGATAGCTGTTACTTGCTATGGCTTTAGAAATGCAGACTACAGGGTAACGCCCACTTTTTCCTGATTATTTGGTGATACTTGTTGCACAGGATCTGAAAGTTTAAGAACTGTGACAATTTCAGAATTGTATGCAAAACAATTCTCATCTTTAACAAAATGAGAATGTTAGTTGCTTGTTAAGAGTGCTTTGTTTTGACCAGTAATAGCTTATCAGCTGAAAGATCCATATTTGCACATTAGTTTTATTCTCAGTGGAGAGTTAGTGGTTGTTGATCAGGAGTTAGATTGTGTCTGCTGTACTAAATTAGACAATCTTAGTTTCAAACATAATGTTTTTAGTGCAAAACAAGTCAGTTACCATCTTGTCCTGCGCTTCAGTTAGATCTTGTAGAATCTGTTCTATCATGCTTTCAGCCAGCGTCACAGCCAATGTTTGTCTCAATTCACTGGAATGATACAAAACAGAGAAGTTACAGTATGATGAAACCCATGTTTTACAGTGTTCATATAGGCATTTTTTTTTTACCAACACAGTTCAAAGTCCATTCTGGTTAGAGTACCAGTATTGTGTGTTTCCCAGACTAAAAGGTTCCACAGCTCAAACAAAGAGCCAACTCAGGCGCACAGCTTTGTGTTGTGGGTGCTCTAGTCACCCAGGAAGTTACCAATAGGAAAAAAGCCAATTTACTTAAAGAAACAACAAAACACAGCATTTGATTTTTATTTTGTGCCTTCTACTGGACAGCAAATGACACCCCATCTTCACTATCAGTTGTTAAGAGCCCCACTGTACAAACGTAATGTGCACAGCTCAGCCAGTTCAGCCATCTTACTGCTTTGCTTTCCTAAATCTCAGTGTAACCCTATTAATAGTGAATCTGTGGCTCCCCAAAAAAGAGGCAATGGTTGTTGTTCAACAGAACAGTGAAGTTTGAAGGCCTGAACTGAATCAAACTCTAAGAATTAGAGTTCTTTCGATGGAAAAGTCCCAGTAGTTTAGAAACTGTAGCTGGTTAGGTTCATTGTGGCTTCAAGAATACAAAAGTATGTGCAAATGTTTACAAAGTATAGATGAGTAAGACAATCCTTTATTGGCCCCACAAGTGGGAAATTAAAGCTAGTGAACTATTATGAATATGACAAAATAAATAAATAAAATACACATTTAAGTAACATGTGCACATGAAACGGTTCTTGCCTCAATCTGGTGCTGATGATTTGCCCTGCGGTTTCCACCAGGGTGCTTCTTAGGAATATTTCTGCCTGCTTGCTTCTTTTAGACATGCACTCTGATAGACTCTTGCAGACACTGGAGCGCTGCACCACCCTTGGACACACTGTTTCTGCATAGCCCATCAAGTCTTGACCCAGCTCCTAAAGAAATCAAGACCATAAGTTCAGATCAAGAGTCCAGAGTATGACAAGAAACAAAAAGGCCTCTCACAATTAAACCTATGATGTCTTTGATGAGTCAATGCGCTAAAAAAACATGTTTTAAGTCCAACACTTTGATAAACCAAATTTTACAAAACTAGTCAATACATATCAAATCTGTGACTATCAGATAATTAAATATTCGTGTACCTGAAAGTCTTTTTTGATTTCCTGAGTTAGTACTGAGGCAGTATCAGACAAGATATCCATCACCCAGTCTCCAGCAGACGAACACTTCCTGCTCTCCTCACACAGAGATGGAAGCAGCTGCATGTGAAAAGCCCCGAAAGACAAGAAAGAGAATGATTAACTGACAAAAAGTTGAAACTTGATTATTCTTCAGACAGAATATTTTAAAACGATTTGCACTGGCCTAATTTTTTATAAGTTACAATAAAATATCAGCTTATAATACACAGAGACTGTATGAAATTACTTAGGCTTACAGCAACATAATTTGTTATTTTTCCAAAAAAGAAACTGAAATGTTTACCTTCAGAGACTCTCTGGCGTTTTGGAGCACTTCATGTGCAGCCATAATATCATTCTGGACCGCCTGGGTATTACAGTGGCTTACACGCTGCAGGGTGTCTTCCAGCTGTCGACACATACCTTGGATCATCTGAAATTGAGGACAAAGGGAAAAAACGGGGGAAAACATACAGATGAAAACGGAGGAGTCTGGTCTGAGCTGAGCTGAACTGACAGACCTGCATCAAAGTCAAATCATTTTAAAAGAATTATTCTAAATGTGTCTTGCTTTTTTCTGACTGTTTCCCGTGAAGACTGACTTTAAGCTAAAGAAGTCTGATGAAAAAAGAATACTGTCACGCCTTGCTGCGGCAGCTCCCTACAGAGTTATATGCCTATTCTGCTGCTGGTCTAAATGGTCTTCGGCCAACTTGCTTTTCAAGTAAGAATCCCTCAGATCTTCATACATCTGTTTACTCAGTATAATCTGGTTTTATTTGTCCGTTTAATCAGTCTCTGTTCAGTAACATTTATGCAGTGCTGAAAATGAGAAGTAGAACATTCCTAATCTCTTTATTTTTCAAAGAGAAGATAATAAAGTACTTTTGATTAGAATTCAAGACACCATGTGCACATACATTTTTGTTGTTGAGAAAAATGTTTTAGTTCTGAGACCAGTCAGAGTGTATGGGTCGGACCTAATGCAGTGTTCTAGTTACATAGTAAATTCAGCTGTAAGCGCAGCCATGGTTATCTGTTTCATACCTTCTCAGACTGTTGACTCCTGAACACCTGCTGAAGCTCCACACTGCCAGAATGTCTCATGTTGTTTCTGGACAGACACTGCTGAATCTGGACACACAAAACATATTAAAATGAAAACCACAACTTCATCCTTCATTTCCAGAATAAATCCTATAACATTGAAAAGCAGAGCCAGTTCATTTCCTATATTCCATCCTTATTTAATTATATACTTTTATGCACACTCACATGCAAACACACTTAAATGAATAAACAACCTTGTTCAGGGCTTCTTTTGTTTGCTCTGGGTTGCTGCGGTAACTTTGTGTGATATCAGCCAATGGGGGAGGCATCTTCTGTAGAGTAAAGTTCCTACAAAACACAGAAAACATGCATCAACATGCATTGACAACAGAATACAAAAAGTTGTTTATTACACATGCCTGTACAGAAACCTAGACTATTCAGAAATCTGAGGTAAAGGTTTACAAATATGTTCCTAAAAAGTAATTTTTCCCACTGAGCGATTACTGAAATTATTAGCCAAACGTTTCTCTGTGGGTTATTTTTAGATTTACTATGAAATTCAGCATCTAAAACAACAGTGTTCACTTCCGGCCATATCATGATCATGAATGTCCTAAAAGGGCAGAAGAACTGTGGTAGAATGTACAGATAAAACTTTCTATTAACAAACTTTTAGAATATGAATAAATAACATTCATTCTGTTCCATGAGGACTACTTGGAACTGAATATTAATTTTTTTTTCACATTAATTAATTTGAACCATAATAACTGTTCCATTACTTTCAAAATAACGTTATCTGGCATTGACTGTCAGATGGTCTGACAAGGAAGGTATGCCAACAAAAGTGAGATTTTGTCTGGCTTATCTAGTAATACTGTGATTATATATTTTGAAAAGTTTTCAGCTTTTGTTCCATTTTCCAATAAGCCAGTGAGCTTCTATCTTGTGGGCCTTTGTCATGGAGTCATCAGTAAAGCCTGGACTTTAGGTAAATAAGTGTGACAAAATTAAAACAACACATTTTATGAAGAAAATTAGAATCAATATTTTAAATTAGAAGCACAGGAATGATTTCCAATCTTAATCAAATTTGTTTTACATTTTTTTGTAAGTGATTGTATATTGGGGAAACTGTAAATTTACTTAAAATTACACAGTAAAAATCTTGTATTGAAATAGTAAGCTCTGGCAGTTTGCCTTTTTAATCCTGTTTCTGAGTCATAATGGCTCTAAAATGATAAATTATATTTCTTTATTTTTAGCTCTACCTCTGGCTACATATAAATTCATAATTCATATTTAATTACCTATTGATGATCAACTACTAATATGTAAATTTTGGAAAGTTCCAAACTTCATGCATAATTTATCTCTATCTTTTTCGTCTGATTCCATTATCCGAAAAAAGCAAGTGACACTAATTAGATGTCAGCATAAATACACTTACCAGGTGCAAAATGTATTCGTTTTTCAGGCCACATTTTATTTACTGCACAATCTGAATTTGATCTGAGGCTGAGGGGTGCAGAGAGGCTGATTTAAAATGTATGTTTTGTTTGTAGACCCAAAATAAAAATGACAAAAAAAAACTATCTCAGAATTTGTTTTTTTATGAATCTTCCACCTTCAGACTTGATATTGCTAATGGCAAATGTCCTCCCCCAATTAATGAGCTTGTATTTCTTGAAGTCTGTCAATGTGTGTTGGTCTGGGATGGACTGTAGAACCAGTGGTGAACACTGAAAATGACTGAAATCCACTGCTGCTTTTGCCTGTGCCTACTAGCAGTTAGCTGCAAAGGGTATCTTTGTTTCATCAAAGTCTAAGATAGTTAACTTCTGTAGAAAATAACATTTTATTCAGTTTATCACCAAGATATTATATACTGATCAATTATAATAACACACACTTCCAAACAATTCAGACAAAGCCAGTCATGAAACATCCTCTTCTCTTGAACTAATCCGGTCTCTTATTGTGTGTGTGTTTGGGTGTGTGCGCGTATGTGTGTGGCCTTGTATTTGATACATTGTATTCTAACACATTCTACATTGTGGGGCTCCTGCTCTTTGTGGGGACCAAAACTAAAGTACTGTTTATGAGTTGGGTTTAGGACTCAGGTGTGAATTGAGTTTAGGTTAGGTTTTGGGTTAGGCATGTACTGGCAATGGTTAGGTTTGGAGTACGGGTGAGGATTAGACTACAGAAAAGATTGAAAGACAAATGGAAGTTAATGCAAAGTCTTTGTGAAGATAGGAAAACATAGTAAGTGTGTCTGTGGAAGAGAAATACCTTTCCAAGGCATCTGCCACATCCTGGAAACCCCTGACAGTGACGTTGTTTCTGTCCCATGTTATAGACCTAGAAGGACAAAGACAGAGCTGCTGCAACTTTCTTAAGACCCATATTGAATTGTTCCAATATGGCTCTTGACTCAATCCAGAAGAAGGACTCATACAATATCTTTATTGTCTTTATTTGGTGAATTATATGAATTTGAGTTTGCTTTCATTGTCACTGTTAGGGGAACAACTGAAGAAACAGTTTTGGCTCTTCTCAGTAGCAAACTGAAAAATTAAAGATTCTAAGGAAGAACTGATCACTTTACAGACATGTAAGGTCATGTTTGCAGTTGAGAGCTGGTTCTCCTGGTTAAATTGAAGCTTAAATAAATAAACTTCATGTAGCTTTTTTTTAGATTGGGTAATTTTCTGTCATAATAAAATAAAACTGTTACCTTATTTAAACACAATTTGATCACAATTCTTTCAGTGCCCCACTTCACTCCATAATTTTATGAAATGAAACAAATTTGACAATTTACAAATTTCTTGGCTCCCAAGAAAACATTTCTCATGGTAGACCCTTGTCACATGCATTATCTGTCTCACTGAAGTACTCAGCGAGACAGGAAACAGCATCAATAATTTTGATCAGATCAAGTGTTTCTGCTTCTTTCTGTACCTCAGCATGGTGTTGGTCATCAGGGCTTTTGCCAGCATTTTGGCTCCAGTGTCTCCAATATTATTCCCACTGATGTCCAGTTCAGTTAGAGTAGCATGGCCCCCAAGAGCGCTAAGCAGAATGTGCATCCCTGTTTTCAGCTTAGAGTCAGACACTGAGAGAGACTGCAGGGGCTGCAGAAATAAAGATGGAATTAAAAATCATCTAGAGCCCTTTACATTGCATTACATTGTTTCAGAAAGGCCTCCCCTGAGTACTTTAACAACAATCTTAAGTGCTACAGTCTGGTGAGGGTCTATGAATGCTTTAACATAGAAGTTCTGGGCACTGCATTTGTGGATGTGTTGTTGGATGGCGGAGCAGAGCTGTGCCTCTAATCAAGCACAACCTGATGCATGTCTACAACACCTGATACGCATATGAAGCAAGCAATGTTTCAGTATCTGGAGGTTTTGACACAAGATCAAAGACACATAGATCAACACTCTCTGACAATTTAGGATCAGAAGTGAGATTAAAAAGCGACAGAAATTAGATCTTTAAAATCTTTTTAAATTTTACACTTAAAACAATTGTCCTTTGTAACAATCAGCTTACTTTGGCAGCAGTGACTGATACATCTTTTTCCAGCATTTTTGTGACTACTCCTGCCCTACAATAAGCTCAGTGCATGCTGCATCCTATGTGAAAGCAGCCTTCCACACCTTTGGCACCATGGACCTGAATGTGTTTTTAAATATAAATTGTGATTCCAGACGGGTAGTCAATCTAAAATGTTCTAAAATTGTACAGAAATGAGGGAATAATGTTCATAATTTACATTGAGTAAATGAGATGAAAATAACAATATTACTTACACACTCTTCATCCTGAATGAGCTGCGCTATACGATGAAGAAGGTCGGTGAGAGCTCTGCTCCAAATTAAGACGAAAGCATGCAAACACATGGCAACATATCAGTACCAATAATTTACTGGTATGTTTGTAAAATATAAGAAATCTATACCCAGGGCCCAAATCTAATTGAACTGCAATACTTTCTGCAGGTCTCAATAGTTTTGTTAACTGGAGAACCACTGAAATTTTCTACAAACCAATTATCAACAAGTCCTATTAAAACAGAGTGTAAACATAAATGTGTTTGTATGTTTTGAGTCTGATATACTGTGAGAAACATGTAGGAACACGCTGAGTGTCTTAGTTTATATGGGTCCTGATATTACTGCTTTTTTTCCTTTTAACCTTCTTAGCCACTGTCAGAGCAGCATTTTAAAACTGAACTGCAAAAACTGAAGTAGACACAAAGTATCTATTACTGCTGGCAGGAGGAGAGATAGGAGAGCATCATCAGAACATCATTGGTTTAGTATAATTTTACTGCAAATCTAGTTTTTCAATCATATAATCAACATTGATTTTAACTTTAACAAAGTTTCTGGATGTCTGTGACATAGAGTTTATCTCCGCCTCCATCAAGAGCTGAGGGATGGGGCTGTGGTCCCCAAAGTCACTACTGAAACCTGCCATGGAGCAACCTTAGCAACACAAGCATACCTATATGATACTTGCAACTGTACTCACCCAAACTATTAGCTGATTTCAAAAGTTCTTATTGTAAGTGTAATAAACACCAATAAATTTATTCTGAAGTGTTGGTGGAGCCTAAAGTACATGAAGATGTGGGGCAATGTTGAGTGTTTTGCACACTCATTAAAGATATTTTTTTTTATCTTTAACTAATTAAAGATAAAAAAATTTATCTTTAACTAAAGATAAATGTTTTTGATATTTAACTAATTAAAAATAAATTTTTTGATCGTTAACTAATTAAAGATACATTTTTTAATCTTTAACTAATTAAAGATACATTTTTTAATCTTTAACTAATTAAAGATACATTTTTGATCTTTTATTAAAGATAAAACAATTTTTAAAAATTAGTGTAAATAAATATTTTCTTATTTTAGTAAGTTTACAAAACTGAAAAAAGATTTCCAACATTGTCATAATGAGGTATTTGTGTGAAGAATTGAGGAAAAAAAAATTAGTACAATACAATAAGGCTGTATCATTGAAAAAAATGAAGTGTTATGAATAATTTCCAGATGCACTGAATGCTTAACCTTCACTCATATGTCAGTATACTCTAACATAAAGGGGCTGTAACCGACAGCAACCAGCAGTTCACAAATGTCTCAGTCTCTGATCCATCTAACCCCTCAATCAGTCAGAGCTTCTTTGGCAACATGGGGATGATGCATACATCATTGTGTAGATAATTTGTTTATCTCAGTTGCTCACACTAAATAAGCAAGCAATAGATTTAACAGCTATGGAGTAAAATAATCTGTGTGTCTTTTTCACCAGACCTGGACTTCATGGCAAAGTTCCTTCCAAGAGCAAGGTGATGAAGAGACTGGCACCGACCAACAGACAGAACCAGAGTCACCATATCATTCTCAAAACCTGTAATTACAGAGCAGTTGATGAAACACAGGAGACACAGTCCCAAAGCTGATAACTAATCAGATGGATCGCCATCTGATTAGTTCACTGTCCCATAAAGGAGAAACTCGCTTTTTAGCTTGTAAAAACACATATTAGAATAGAATAGAATAGAAGAATAGAATTCAACTTTATTGTCATTGCACTGTCACATGTACAAGCAACAAAATGTAGTTTGCATCTATCCAGAAGTGCTATACAGGATAAAAATATTTATAAACAGTTACTGTTATAACTATTAATGAATACAGCCATCATTTTGTCAACCCTCTTTTCTTGACATGGTTCTCCTAGACATTTCTTCCTGTTACCAGGAAGCTGTTCCTCCCCACTGTCACCCTGTGCTTTCAAATAACAGGGGATTGTATGAAGTGAACCTTAGATGCAATCTGATGGTTTCACATATAGAGAGATTTGTACTAATTGGCAATTGATGATCAACTGAATCTCACTGTTTTGTTCTATAACTGACTGCAGTTGAACTGACTGTGAACGTCAACCTAAATATACTAATTGAAATGTATTGGAATTATTTCTATTTAATTTGATGTATTTGATTATAAATAAAAAAAAAAATTTGATTTAGCAATATGCTAATGTATTACTTTCTGTGTTTAATCATATTTATTTAAGTAAAGTGAAGTGCATTAAATTGAAAAGAAAGATAACTGTAGCTGATGAGTGGAGTGCATTATGATTATATTTTTTATCAGAAAATATAAAGAAATTGTTACACTGCAAATTCAACAATTTCTTAGCCCCCTGTAGCACGTCCGAGGCTTCACCCCACTTAGTCCCATACAGAGCTGTGTGTGGTGCACACTGCGGTTTTGTGTACCGTTGTCAGAAATATCCAAACTTCTGATCGCTGTAGCCTCAGAGATGTGCTCCTGTATCACCTGGGCCCCTGCTGAGCACAGCTATACGCATGGATACAAATATAAAAAAACTCATCATGTTTATCACTGCTGCTTAAGACCATAACTTAAAAACCATGAAATTTACATGAGAGCTTGTTAGAGTGGTGTCTACCTCACAACTGCTGAGATCTAACTCCAAACCAAAGAGATGAGTGTTGGTGGCAAGACCTTGCAGCAATAACCTGTTTGCAAAACAAGAAAATGACCCATATGTCAGTTAATTGTGCAGAATAACTGCTTCAGACAAATCTCCAGTTACAAGTAAAAATGATCCCCAAATGGTCTCCATATTCCCTGGGAGCCTTCAGGATTTCTCTGTGTGGAGTGTGGGAGGAGCCACACACCAAAAACATGTTCAAGTAATTGGGGATCATGTTATTCATTGTAGCTTTGTGTTTAAGAGTGATAATATTCAGTTCCATGAAGATGTAACATAATACACTCCAGCTCTCAGTGCACCAACTTGAATCTGTGCACCTTCAGTTCACGTTGTGTTATTGCTCTTTTTTCAAATAAAAGTTTATTTTTGGTTTTGTGAATTCAGAATTCTGTGTTCAGAGGTTTATGAATTATTTGTCAAATTAAATAGATTCCATTATAGAGTGTAGTGGTGTAATAAGTGTAGGTTTAGCAGGGAGTAAACACACCTGAGAGCTTGTGGAGGTAGTTTGGTTGCAGACAGGCCAACGTATCTGAGCTCACAGCTCTGACTGAAGAACTCCTGGATACTTCTGGTGACCTCCCGGACTTTCCTACACACATGTAGAAAGTTGATCACCTCAGAACACTGATTCTGACAATGGACTGAGGCACAAAACACATGTTTCATGTAAATATATTATACTTCACTACATGTATTTTTGTCTTATGGTTATTTTGGTTATTTCATCATCAGTTCGGAAAAGCCGTACTGTTCATGTTGATGAATAGGAAACATCATAAACATTTCACTACAGTAAAAAAACAGTTTTTGGTCATCTATCCTTTAGTCCCAACTACACATGCTGGGTTGTAGGGGGTGAGAACACACTAGACGCTGTTGTTGTCCTCCCATTTAAAATAATTTTGATCTATCTGTGTGCAAACTGAGACTGTCCTCTGTTGGATTTGTGAAGTACTGCATATTTACACAGTTTGTGACATTTACAGGAAAGAAATATACCTTCATTAAACTCATAGATACATACAATTTGGGAAAAACATACAGGCCTTTAAATAATTTTGTATGTATCTAAGGGACATTGGTCCTCAGGGCCCAATGTCCCTCATGTGTTTCTGTTCCAGCACACCTGTTGATTTCAGTCAGATATGTGTTGGGAGGGAAAGTCCTAAAACCTGAAGCACTGCAGATCCTGAGGACCAGAACTGAGAACTTCTGATTTAAGGTTGTCACATATTGGATTCCTCTTTATTTATTAATCATAAATCTCATAAATCTATGGCAAATGACTTTGCACTTGAGATAAAATTTGCAATAATTTTTGACCTTGATAACAAGATCCTTTTTTTTCTTTTAACAAGATAATTTTTACATTAAACCCATCAAAATTACACAGCATTTACTGCTTTAAAATAAAAATAGTACCTGGATACAATTATAATTTAATTGTCTATAGTAAAATTATCAAAATGTCTCTTTTAAGCCTACAATATTTATTAGTGGATCAGTCAGCATCCGGTCTCAGATGTGTTGGAAAGTGTCTGAAACAGATCCGGTACCTAACTGCAGATTATTACTGCTATCTTCATTCCACGACTGTTGGTGTATTTAGGCATACTTTTTGGATTTCTGTGGACATCATTCACTCAGTACAGCAATTATGTGTTTCAGTAAAGTATATGAGCTCCTGCTCATATGCAGAGTTCTTTCTTCTGAGAAAAGCCAAAGACTGGTGGATTCCTGCAGTTCCAGGAGAATGGAACTGACCTGTGGCTGAAGGGGTTTCTGGCCAGGTTCAGGTGAGTCAGCTTGTAGCAACATCCAGCAGATAGTGAAACAAATAGCTGCACGACACATTAGAATGAACAGTTGTGACTGAAAGAAGAGGATGAGGAAATATTTCAGGACAAAATAAAAAATGTCAGAGTGTGAGCAATGTTTGATCAAGTGCTGGATTTCAATTTACATTTACATCTTGGCATGGTTTTGTAATGACGTGCAACATCAATACATTATAAGAGAAAACCTGACACATTGTCTCATTATTGGAATATTGTTCACTGAAGTCCATGAGAACAAGAGCATAAAACAGAATTGCAGCATTTGTCTTAAAATCAAAGATTTTAGGATTTTCTGTTAAGGACATTCAAGCTGATTGCAAAAAATATCTGACAGTTTAACTGTCTTGTAAAAGCAAGGAAAAGATTTTCTCTCACTGTGTCCAGAGGGCAGTTGGTGTCACTGAGGTCCAAATGTGACAGGGAGTTTGTGCCAGACAAGAACTTGAAGAGAAACTGCAAAAACACAATCAAACTTTTAAGTACTTATCTGCAGTTGCAAAATATTTACATACATTGTCAGAAAGAACCATCAAAAATGTATCTAAAAAAAAACAATTTATTTTCTCTTGGGGTACATGCCCAAAAAATGAGAAACATCACTGATTAGCACTACTGTTTAAAATGTTCTGTATGATCAAAACAAACACAGAAAAATCCAGTAAAGGGACAGAAATTTTTTTCTTATGTATTTTCAAGCATGTTGTTTTGTAAAGAAACGGTCAATACTCAGGTAAGATGTGTTTCAGTTAAGAGCAGAGGTTACCGTGGCGTCCTCAGTCATCAGACTTCCTGGGTTGCAAGACAGGTTAAGATGAGTCAGAGAGGTAGAAAACTGCTGACAGGAAGACAGCACCTGACCCAGACAACCAAGACCTACAAACACAGAAAATATAAACTAAAGACTGCATTGTCAGCAAGCTTATCATTTAAAAGCATCACAAGTTAAACAGTATTAATCATTTCAGGTCATAGATCCCTCAGATAGTCCTAGGAATGTTGATCAGTTTAAACACTGTTCTCCAAAGAAATAAAGAGGCAATGTTTTATATCTTCTAGGTGCATGTCCCATGAAATATAAGGTTGGTTCTGATGTTCTGCTCTCTGTTCACTGAGTTTAATATATTAATATTTGTACCTTTGGCATTCATTGATACACGACTCAGGGAGAGGAACCTCAGTCCCTCATTCAAATGCTTGATCTCCTGACTGAGGGCGATTACACCTAAATAGAAAATTATCAATTAGAACATATTTACCAAATGCAAAACTAATTAAAAAAAATTTACATTTTGTGTATTTGGGTCACATCAACAATTCTATTTTATATCTTAGATGAATAAAAGAGATGACAAAGGACCACCTTTTTCTTCAATGGAGTTTCCTGACAGATTGAGGGCTTTCAGGGGGGGAGATGTGTGCTCTTGAAGGGCAGCAGCCATTTTCACAGCAAAGTCTCTGCAGCAGAATAAATAACTTGTCAATATATTTATCACTTCTTGTGCTCTACAAATACCAGCAGCAGTACTTTTATTTTCCACTTTTGGAGTATGATGTTGAAAGGAAAAACAGCATGTGGCCCATCATAAATTGAGACCCATCTTGAGCTGAAAAACAGCTGATGACATGTTGAATAAAGTTCATAATTTATCTTGTAAAGCAAGATCCAGAAACAATTTCTGGAACCTGAGGCGAATCATATTGTGTTGCTGGTGCTTTTGGTTCATTAGATACTTCATCTGCATGTTTGTCTGTGTGTTGTGTCGAATTAAACTCTGTTCTGTTATTGTATCATACATTACATCTGTTTTGCAACTTGTCAAGGTGTTTATTAGCTTATGCTATAATCTGGAATAGTTCATCAAGTGGTGACATTTATGTCTTTAGAAATATAAATAATATTCATGTTAATATTGAATATTAAGATCATTATCTTAATAATAATAATAATAATAATAATAATAATAATAATAATAATAATAAATAGTACCTGGATAATAACTATTATTATTATTGTTGTTGTTATTAATATTATTATTATCATTTATTGTATTATTATAATAATTATAATAATAATTATTATTAGGAACCTTAGTGTAACTGTAATGTAGAATGGCAGCTTCTGACAGATTAGTTCAGTGGTAAAGAAGAGATTTTTTTTTAGCTAAGTCTCCTGAATAAAGTAAATGTTTCTCTGTGGACTGAAACATAATTCAAGCTTTTCTTACAACTCACTTTGATCGCTGTAACACTGTGGATGCTGGTCTTGATAATTCGTTTATTCAGGGGCTGTAAGCTGTACAAAATGCTGCCGCATTACAGAATTACAGGTCATGATCATGTCCTGTCAGTGTTGGCCTAGTGGACTGGCGTAATCTACTGACTAATGCACAAGATTTGTATTTCACCTTCAGCATTTGCTGAAAGACAACATTCATGCTTCCTTCAGAGCACCCATTTATATAAAAAAACAAAACAAACAAACCTCCCCACGCCCTCAAACTCACACTTTCAATCCACAGTCCTCTAGCAAGAGTTCCTCCAGACTTGAAGATTTGGACAACAGGAAAGTGAGCTGCTGCTGGATATCAGCTGACTGAGGGAAAGAAGCATTGTATCATTGTTTTTACATGCTTAGTGCCATACATTTATTTTCCCCCTTCTGATTACTCTGTGAAATAGACATAGTGAGTTTGAAACAATCCATTAATACAAACCATATGCCAACATAGGAAATTATTTCCTTGATAACTAAATTAAGACAATAGTCTTGATCTAACTATTACATTGTCATTTTGATAAAAATAATCAAAATAAGACTTTTGAAAATTATCAATGCATTGGTAAAGTTTGCCTCCCAATTCAAATAGTTAGTTTCAGGTGTAAAACCACTAAGAGCTACTGACTTAGTTATCCTGGGAAACAAACACATGTGCATGAATGTACACTATAGTAAGTAGCAAGAGTATCTCATGACCAATCATGTTCCTCCTAGATAAACAATAGAAAACATTTTAACCAAAGAAAAATCTAAAGCTATCATTTGTTTTCAGAAAACTTAGCATAATGTAAGATGTTTCTGAATAACAGTGTTAAAAAAAACGTCAAAACCAAAGTCTTGATCTTTGTATCATATCTTTGTATTTCAGTGCTGACCCAGTACTCCCTCAGCTTAGAGCCTAAAGTTGGATGTGAAGACTTTCTCCTAAATATGCAAGGTTCCACAGGGATGTGTACTAAGTCCTATGCAATTTATTCATTGAACTCATGAGATTACTCCTAAGTTCAGCACAATCAGCTGATTAGGCTGCCAATGACTCAAAGGTGATGAAAGGTGAAACACTACACCACTATATTTATTGTACATGTCTTTTGAAATTGAGATAAAAAGAGACAAAAGACAGACTGTACCAGTTTGAGTTCTTTGCAGTAGATCTGAGTAAACCATCGGTTGAAGGACAAAGCTGCTACTGCCAATGCCAAGTCTCTGTGGAAAGAAGAAACAGTAAAACTTAACAAAGATGCAGAAAAACTGGCCTTGAAAAAGTTGCCCACTTTCTTACCTGCTTTCTAAATGGCTAAAGTCCAGCAGGTTGAACCTTCTCCAGTTATGTATGTAGTAAATATTGTCCACGTCCTACAAAAAAAAACAACAACCGGGCTTCATTTAAATGTCAAGCTCGGCTTTGGTTAGGACAAAATCAGCTGTCTGTAGACAGACTTAATTCACTAAGTTACATCACTCACCCACTGAATTTCTTCTCTGAATGACATTTCATTCCAATCACAAAGAGCAGCATATGTATCAGAGAATCCTCCTGAAAAATCACATCAAAGCACGCTATCCATAACTGGTGCTCATATAAGAATGATCTTATACTGTATGTAATCTAATATTTAAAAAATGATACCAAACGAATCACCTTGAAAAATGTCCATATCACAAAATATGGAACAATGATGATCAGGAACAAGGAATACAACAATCCTCAGTTGTCACAGTGTCTCAAGTCCAGTGTCTTTTGAACCAATCACAAAATGGAATAATGACAGAAACTTACCACAGGGGCCTGGTTGGCTGTTCAGCTGCTCCTCTATGACAGTAGTCAGAGTGAGCAGCCTGTCCTGGAGGTCCTGGGGAACTCTCTTCAACAACTTTCTGAAGTTGACAGAGTCAGAAATAAGCAACTAATCTGTGATGCATCAAGAACAAGTAAGCTGCAGACTCACAGTGTAGTGGCTCTGTGAGGTTACATCCATGACAAACTCAATCACTACATAAGACAGGTGATTTTTTTGCTTATATACTAATGCTAACCACAAGCTAAACCTGATATAAGATTGTTCTGACGAGAGATCAAGTGGATATTAATAAAGTTCATTAGCCTGAGAAGGTTATCTTGAAGCAAAAAGACATTTTTATTGTAGTTTTTTGCCTGGCTCTAAATAATCAACAAGCATCATTAGGCATTAGTAACATCATCAGGTTTATAGTTTTACTTTGTTTGAGCTCATCATTTAATACATTCCATAGATCTACCTCACACACTGATAACAAAAACATTTTAGTTGTTCCAATACATGCTTTTTTAAATGTCCTTCTCCTCTTATAATTATAAATTCTAAACCCAGCTCTCTGTCACAAAACATTTTTTGAACATTGTGTGGAATTTAACAGGTTCTTACTTTCAACATAAATTATACAGTTTTGAATATTACATGATCCCAGAATTTCAATTCAGCTCCACAAATCTGGAACAATGTAAAGCACTTTCAAATGACTTGATGCTGAAAGTTCTATGGAAATAAAAATTTAACACCGCTATTCCAGTAATGTGAACATGGTTTCCCTTCCTCTCCTTTTATGAGTTTACATGAAATTTGTTCACTTCGTCCGAAACAGGTTAAGTTGTATCTCCACTATCTCAGCTCTTAATGGTTTAGCTGCATGTTAGTAGCCTAGAAAAGAGCTTAACTATGTGTTTTAACTAAAAGTTGACGAGTTTCATTAATAAATTATTTTGTAAAATTATTGGTTGTTGTCTTAGAGTGCCTGTCAGTGTGTGTGTGGAGCTGGGTGGTTCAGGTGGTGTCTTTCTCTTCCTGTCTACTTCCTGTCTGTTTCCAGTGGGCTGATTCACTCTATTGCTCTATAACACCTCACCACACCAGATCTTTATTTAATAAACAATGACTGACAGAGACTGGTGAACACATTTGGACAATAGTGATTAATCACACATACAAATGCACGCACCCATGTGAATCTGCAAACAATAATAAAGGGAGTTTTTCCTCTCCACTGTCACTATGTGCATGCTCAGTATGAGGGATTGCTCCCAGAGTCAATTACTCTAATCTGGAAACAACTTCCACAAAACTTCAAAACAACTGAAACACTGAGTTCTTCAACTAAAAACCAAACTCTTGCTGTTTTGAGCAGCCTTCTATTAATAATGACCATATGATTAAAAAATATATTTGCATCTCTAAATATTCAATGATAATTATTCTAGATGATGGCATTTGGCTAAATCTTGTGTGTGTAGTTTGTTTAAATTGTTTTTATCATGTAAAGCTCTGTAAACTCCCTTTTTTCCTGAAACGTGTTACTTGACTCCATCACTTGCTATGCTCAAAAACATTAACATTAAACATTTAAGTTGATCTAACGTTGAATTAGAAAATATTGCCTAGAAATTATGATATGGTCAAAACACTCACTCGCCTGATAGTTGTTCTCACCGTGTATTCTTCTAGTTATCAGCATGTTTCACTTTTATAATGCACATGTAGAAGTGAACTGACCCTGGAGAAGAATCTGGGAAGATCCTCTTTAGTGATGCCGTCATGTGGCTGATCATGGCAACAAGATCTTCATCATGCAAGACACTGAAAGACAGGCTGCGCCTGTCCGTCTCCAACTCAATCTGTAATCCATGTATGTCATGAGTGATGAATGTCGGCACAAGTTAACAATGAATTATTACATCTGTGACACACTTGCAATGAGGATTTTGCTCAAGTCAGTTAGGAAGCACAGATGGTTATTAATCCCTCTTTTCTGCTTAAATTAACAGGTGCAGTGAAGGGCGAACTTTAAAACCATCAAATAAGTGTATTTTTTTTATTAATATTACTATGATTGATGCCATTTTTGTTGCTGTTGTAATTATTATTTTTTTCTGCATCTATCAAAAAACTTAAAAAAATAAACATATCACTGAATTATTAGTTTCCCAGAGATCAGAAAAGCCAGGTGAATAGAAATAATTTGTATAGGTGTACAAGAAAAACATTCAACTTGAATTAGGTTAACAGTGTATTCTTGGCGTAGGTATTGTGCATTTTATTTGGCATTTCCAAATTATTGAAAAAAAAAAAGTCAGACACTGAAATATAAGAAGGTTAAAACTGACAAGGCTGGTGTACCTGAGTGAGACTGTGAATGTTGATGGAAGAAATCTCCAGGTAGCTAAATGCACTCTCCACCTGTGCACAACAACAGTTCAGTCATTGGCACTGCAAACTGCAAAGAGAAAACTGTGCTACTCATGAATTGAACCAGTTTTTAAAGTGACTTTAGGTAAGAATGTGGGGTCATATTATTAAAATCAAGCTCAAACTGAAAAGAAAGTTTGTAACATTTTGAAAATCTGCATTTTAAAGATGAAATTACAAGTATAAAGAAAATACTGAGCACTCAAAGCACTTTCACTCACCCACACTTATTCATAAACTAACTCACATATCAATTGCCAACATGAGATAAAGAGCCTCGTCCAGGATTGTATGAAATATAATAATAATATATTTCATTTCTAAACCCAACTGAAATCTCAAAAGAAAAGAAAGACAGAAGCAAAGCAGCAAATTTTGCACCATCAGCCCTTCTGACCAACAAGGTGGGTGAAGTGAAGTGTCTTGCCTTGTCCAGGTACACAAATAACAAGGGCAGGTGTACCAGGAATCAAACCAGCGAGCCACCAATTGCAGGGAGAACTCCTACCACCGTCACCCCATATGGAAGAAGGAAGCTGGATTTGAGGCTACAAATCTGACACTGTTATACAAGTGAGCCACATTCACTCTGCAGCTTTTTAGCTTTCACCCAATCCAATCATGTTGGATAACATTCCAATTTTAAACTAGTAACTACATACTTAGAGATACAAAGAATAAGTCATTACATTGAAAAAAAAAGTCAAGAAAGAAAATACATTCTTCATTTCCCTTTTCTTAGTCTATGTTGTTGAGACAGATTTTTGTAAGCTTTGCTTCACCTTGAGTGGCTGCTTGTTGGTGACCACATAGCCTCTCCACAGACCCAGAACCTGAGACAGAAACATGAAAACAGATTTGATGGAGTTAAACTAAGTCTAGAAAGCGATGAGCTAGATTCTAGAATCACATAGTGGCATAAGCCTGGCCTGATTTCTGACAGGACTTGAACTCAACTGGACATGAAGCTGTGGAAAAGTGCCAGCACAGAATGAATAGTTCTCCAAGTACCAGTTTAAAAGGGCAGAAACATGAAAAATGAGCTCCACCAATTTGTTCACTTAACATAAGAAATTATACAAACTCAAAAAGAATTAAGCAAAGTAAGTAAGAAAACTTCATTTATTTTAAGAAACGGTTTTAGATCCAGTTTTAGATCCTGCTTGAAAAAATTGAAGCCCACTTGAAATGACTAAATACTTACAACATACTACTTATACTTGCTCATTTTTCAAGTTCACATAAATTAAACAAAACAGTTTTCTTGAATCAGTTCTTGACCATCCTCTCTTTCTTCCTCTCACTTCAATTTTTTTTATTAAGGTTTCGTTGGCTCTTTATTTGAAAGTGGTCAGACAGAAAAGTGGGTAAAGAAAGAAAGAGAAGACATGTGGCAAAAATCATCAGGCCAGGAGTGGAACCTGTGACAGCCAGTTGTGCTTTACCCCTGCTTTACCACCAGAATCCCTCACTCCTACCTCACAGAACTACTAATTACACCAAATATTTGAAATGCATAATGCATACAAAAACATTCTGTCTGATAAAACATTGCAAGCTTGTGCATCAGATTTACAAGATTACTAGGAACACAAAACAAAGGTTCCAGGTTTAGGATTTTGCACGTAAAAAATCCAGTTAATTACTTTATGGCTCCTCCAAAAAGACACAAGTAACATTAAGTTAGTTGACTTTGGTGATATCCCTAATCATAGGTTGACACACAGTGGCAGTCCTTTCTTTAACAAGGACAGCCTGCTATTGTTGGTAACTAAAGTTAGCATAGTGCTAGCAGCCAAGCTTAAGGTAAAATGATACATGGAGGCTCGTTGTGATGTTCTGCTATGTGAATGCACTCCTATTTATGGAAACGCCAGGATTAGTTTCTTTTTATGAGTCAGATTAGATAAATTATTGGCTCCAGAAAAGATCAAACTAAAGTAAAGCATTTATACTTGGATGCAGCATTGAGTCAAAGTACTCTCCAATACAGAAAAAAAAGCACAATTATAGAAAACTTACATGTTTCTAAATTAATCCAGCTCAAGTAATGAGTTGGAGAAACCAAGTAACTTACTAAAAGTGAGTGTTGATAGCAACTTAATGAACACGTGACTTAAGTGAACTTACTGTTTTTAATTAAATACAATGTTTGCATTTATAGTGAGTGACTCTGTGGTTTAGATAATTCCAGCCAGATATGTCAGGCTGGGCATTTGGCAGAAAAGACACTGAATGTGTTTTCTGTAGACTGTAGACTTGGTAATTTAAGTAAACATTTGAAATTCCAAATGAAAACAGAGTCCCATTTATAGATTCTGATGGAATCATCAATGAATTTGATCTGGCTCAAAATCATATTTTACAATAATTTGCGATAAAATAAAGGTAAATGCCTGATATCTGCAAGAACTGATGCGTTCTGAAGCTCTTTACAACTCCTCCAGACATTCACACACATATTCATGAAATGATGAGGATGATGAGCACACAGGCATTTTTAGTTAGTATAGAACCAAAGATTAGAAATAAAGGTGAAATAATTTAGAAAACTTTGGAAAAATAAATAATATGTTCCTGATTGAATTTTGTTATGTAGAACATGGAGAAAACTTAAGCTTGATGGAAAGAGCAGGAAAGTCTGAACTTTTCTGCTTTTTGTGTGTTCTTTATTCAATTACTCCAATAAAGAACACACATCTCTGCATTAAGGTTGAATCATTCTCTGCATTAAGGTTGAATCATTCTTTCCATGCTGGCCATGTTCCTGTTTATGTTCTGATTATTGTCATAAAATATGCAATAATCAGACTGCTACTCAAAAACCAACTCAAGACCCAGATATCTGACTTCACTTCATGTTGGCCTCCAATGTCCCACTTATATCTGGAACTCTGGGAAAAGTAGCCAGCCTTCAGGGCCGCCGCCAACAGAACCAGGTTTTGAAGACTTCAGTCAGTTTCTGTTTTGCCGTTGTTGAGACAGAACAGGTCAGACACTGACAGCTTCCTGTGTTCCCCTCATCTGCTGCATCTGGTACAGTCAGTCATGCTGTTCTCCTCAAAGTCTTCACCACAGTCGTACTCATCTGACTCCTGCAGATTTAGTCATCAGCTGCCAAAGACTCTTTATTTTACTGGGAGAGTGTTGGGTGCTATGCATATTACTCCTGGGTTTGACGTAAATGTTTTCTAAAGTTTATTTTTGAACATGTTTGAGGGATCTTTTACGACTTATAAACATGTTGGTATTTAATCTAGTGTGAGCTCCAGTTGCCGCTCCTCGCTGCTAGCGGGCGCTGTGATGAGTTACGACATCGATATGGATTATACAGTATATAACAAACCATGGAGAAACTCCTCATCCTCATCCCCTCTTCATCTTCTTTTTGTGTGTCTGTTTATGCTTTTTATTAAAAGTAAATCAGATGAACTCATGGCACCAAATCTTGGCTGTATGCAGACTTTTTCCAGGGATGACTTTTTTTTCTTCTTCTTTTTGAACAAATATTCAAATATTTACTCAACAATCTCAGAAACAGTCACTATAATTCATTTATAATAAATAAAAGCCTTTTTACACTCAGTATGGAGTTTATACGCTACTTACCACAAACTTGCTTCCTGATCTCCCACATGACTGGTTTGACTGGTGCAGAAGAACTGGTGTCACTAGGCAGGCTCTATGAGGCTTCAGCAGCTCAGAGACCTGATCTGCAAACACAGACAACAAGCCGTGTCAGAGACAGACTGGCAGATTCTTTTCTAAGCACAAGTAAGGTAAATGTTGTGTGGATCCTGCAGTCATGGGCTCAGAGCAGAGACAGTTAACACTAACTGTTCTCTGCCCACTGTGTCAGCCCACATCTTCCTTCCACCATTTACTCATTTCATTATGGCAGCTGGAGAATGTTGAACAAATATCTTTAAAAGACAATTCATCCTACTCTTCTTTTATCAGGATTCAAAGAAAATCATGGGGAAGAGTAAAGGTCTGTGCTTAGAAATGTTACTGTAAAAAGTTAGAAATGTTGCTGTGAGAGTTTTGGGGAAAGCAACTTCACAGAAAAACTTGTTAAAAAAACGACAAACTATTTAGAATTTTATTGAAACCTTGGCTGGGTTTAGTGTTGGGGATGATACAGACTTGAGCAAAGTCAATCCTATTAAAACTATCCCAATCATCTTATCTTTTGATTAGAGGGGGGACAGCACTAGGCTGCTTTACATCTCTGGAATATCAGAAGTGATGCTGACAAACCAGCTGTTATGTTCTGGGTTATTTTGAGTTGCTTTTGAGGTTTGATTATTTTGTGTTCTTTACTCTTTTTCTTTGATTAGATCAGTCTTGTTTCTGTTTTTAGTTCAGTCCTTCTTAGTAATTCTGGTTTATTTCTTGTATCTATTATTATCAACTCTTATTGTACAGAATTATTACCAAACTAACTGAAAGACACTATTTTATTTACATCTGTTTAAGGGAGAAAAAAACCCCTTTCCAATAAACATTTCTAAAATTTAATTTAAAAAAAAGAAAAAAAACATCAATGATCAGTATAGCCACCCTTCTTTTCAGTAACAGTGATTAGCTTTCATTAGTAGAGGTTGTTAGTTTCTTCATATGTTGATGACCAACTTTCTGTGGTTCTCTGATCAATGCCTTCCAGACATTGATCAGAGAGCTGGATGGCTTTCACCCACTGGAAACCTCCTGTTTCAGAACTGCATGCAGTTTCTCAGCTTGTTTGCAGATCAGGTAAGAAAGAGGACCATGCCATAAATTTTTCTTCTTTAACGCCTTTACCACACAGTGAGGTATTTGGATGCATATATATAAAGTATAAATATAATTTTTGAAAGATGCAGACATCTTCCTGTCTTCTAAAATCCAGAAGATTTTAAATCCAGCTTCAACCCGAAAAGGTCCAACCAGCTCATCTGTCATAACACCAGTCCTGCCAGTTCCCCACCTCCACCTTGCTGACATCGGACTCAAAGTGGAGCTCAGTGCCTCTTACTGATCCACCACAGGACCATCCACCTGCTCCACCCAAAGTCACTCAGTTCATCAGTCCAGAAAACTTATGAAGGATCTGTCAGCTGGTGTTTCTTGGCTCAGTCCAGTGGGTCTCAGTTCTCATCTTTTCTAACCTCGGCCATGTCTCTCAGCTGTTGCATTGTACATACATACATAAATCATCATACTACATTAATACATTCTACATTCATACATCACCTTCTACAATTTAATCCATGAAGCGTTGAAGTGTAACCAGCTCGGAGCTAGAAAATCTGCCCAAAATTGATCAAATTACTCAATGGTTTGAAAAATTGTGCTCCTGTTGAACTCTACTGACTCTTGATCAAACACAGTTTACTTCAAGGCCCAGAGAAACAGGAAGATGCATCACTGATCCTGATTCCTAAACAACAGGAGAACTGCTCTTATTTGACTTTCTCTGCTTTCAACACAATTCAGCCAAAAGGCTTGATTAAATAATAATTGAAAATAAATAAATTAATTAAAAATAACTAAAGAAAAAAAAAAGAACAGTTGAAACTCAATTTGGACCTTAGAGGACAGATTTTAAGTGTTCCCTTCAAATGGCTCACCACAAGGCTCCAACCCTTGTTCTCCATTTTAAGTGTGTTTCCTCTATAGGACTTGTTTCAGGAACCAGGCCAGTTCCCTGGACTTGTTATGTCCCATGTGTGTTTCTGCTACAGGAACCTTGGTCAAGTCAGACAAAAACAGGAATAAATCTGCACTCAAAATGGTCCTGTCTTGGTATACCTATCAGAAGGTAATGCTTTTGTGACCTGCTCTGAGCATAGCTCCACTCATGGAGCAACAACTCTGCACACCACTTATTTTATTTACAGATGTTCAAAGCAAAGCTCTAAGTTTAGGAAACAGGAGAACAAGTGTTGTCCACACAAAGCTAAAGCAGAACTTCACAGTTATCAACCTGTCATATCAAAACAAAGAGCAAACATGCTAACATTACAGTTAACATGGAGGATGTTGTGTGCTGCAGGCTCACAATGAAGCCTGAATAAATTCATTATGAACCAGAATAAGGCTAGAAATTATCCATATAGAAAGCAAATCACATACTGCATATATAGATCTCATGTGTTTTTTCCCCCATCTTTATGATGTATGAAAGTTTAGGCCATGCTATAAAATTTGTTTTATATTTCATAAATATTATGTTGCCTTTTCCATATACAATGCTAAATTCATTCTGAAAAATTGAAAAACTGTTAGAATGGAAAAATTGCAAAATGTGTTTTCAGGTGTTTCGTTTATTTTGATGTTTCATTTTACCCAACAAATAAAATCCTTCTTTTCAACAAGCTTCTAAAAAGATACCTCAGCATCTCTTTCCTGTTGCATCCATCTCTCTGTGAGTCTTGACGAAATAATAGTAACAATCAAAATACCTCTTTGGTCTCAGTCCTGACATTTATCCATCAGCTACAATGAGTCCTGTTTTTTTTAGGCAGTTGCTGACATTGTTGCGGTGGAGCTAAAGGTGAAGGCACATAGGAACAACCGTCCTTTGATTAAACACTAAAGGCTGACTCAACTCTGAAGTTCAACTGACGCATTGCATATGCATGTAATGAGTGGTACACCATGTATGCATATTTTCCAGATATGCAGAACCTGTTCTACTTCACAAACTTTATTTTACTCTCCTGAAGCCTTTTTGTGCCTGTAGTTAAAATGACCTTAGACATGATTAAAAAAGACTTACATTGCAAAGCCAGAGATCATCGTCTGTTTAACATGTCAGTTTTGAGGAGTAAAGTTAGGCTTGGTTTTACACATAGAGTATTTTCCATCCGGTTTGTATCCTGCTGTAGAACAACAATGAATATTGCTAGATGTTACCTCGCAAAGTCTGAGAGATGGAGTCCATGCTGTCAAACTCTGAGATGTGATGAATTCAAGCAGGAATGTCCAAGCTTCTCTGTTGAGCCACATAAGGAGTCCAAAACACAGAACACCGGGGTGTTGATCTGAGCTTAGCATCCGCCCAAATGAGTATCAAATCAGAATTAAAGAACGATCCATTCCTAGACTGGAGGACAAGCGGATCTGCTCTCTGCCTGAGGCAGCCATCTAAAGAAGAGCTGCTTTCTGTTTCTCACCCTGCATCACGACAAACACGCTTCACATTTTGCTCAGCATGCAGGCACTTTTTGCACATAAACTTAAGACACACATCCTGTTCCATTTAGCAAGCAGTAAACCACAATCAGGAAATGTGCACTTTCGTACAGGTATAGAAAACAGTGAGAATATGAGGGAAGTTTCAAGCTTCTTTGGATAACATTGTAACAGAAAAATTATCCAAAAGTCAATGGAAACCAAGTGGAAAGAGTAAAGTTGAGAGTTTTTCATGGATAGGAATGATGTAAATAAATCTTGAGTCTATCTGCAGATGGAGTCATCTGTAACTCTGTGGTTCTGTGGAGACTGCAGAGCGTTGAGCTTCACACTGATTTTCTATATTAGATGACACAGTCCATGAGTTTTCTTACTCTAGAATGTAGATTGTCAAGTTTTTAAACCATCTACGTTGTTATTACCTTAACAGTTCATTATTACTGAATGTTGTTCATATTTTGATGTCCTTGTTTCATAAAGGGGCAATATTATGCAAAATTGACTTTCTTTTTAGTTTTGCATTATGTTATAATATTATTCTCTCATTAAAAACATATCTGAAGTGTTGCGCTGATTATTTCATGCATGTTTAAAAAATCCTTTCTTCTGCCATTCAGCTGTGCAGAATGCCTGGGCCAACTGAGCAGCACCTTCGATGACAAAACTCCATGGAGTTTCAGTTTCCAAGGTTCTGAGCTCCCCACCCTCTCAGTGCAGACCTCCTTCTACCACTGACCCACTCAGCTCCTTCAGACTAGCTAGCAGCAAATAGCAAACACCTGGTGGAATGGCGCTCCTGCTGAGCTCATTATAAGAGCTACATCTCAGTGAAACACTGGTAAAAACTTTGTTAAAGGGTTGATAAAGGAGCAATGTTGTGTCACAAAGAGCAGATGTTTTTAGAAACAAAGATCCAATTTTCAGGTGATAAATTACTAGTCAAGTTATATTTGATGTATAGAGCAATTTTATAATTGAAGGTGTGTTACTTAATTGGCATTATGTGGCTGGAAAAAGCATAACACTGCCCCTTTAAGTGAAGTTTTTGCACTAATAATAATCATCCACCTTCACATTTATGGTCTCCCTCCACCATCCAGGTGCAGCAGGTACATGACAGCGTCTTCAGCTAACAGGGGAGATATTATTACATTTATTTAATATCATTCAAACAAAATTCACTCCATGATATGATCTATGGATGAAGAACTTTCAGCCTGAGGGAGATGACACCAAAACAAACACAACTCAGCCAAATCATTCCTGCCTGAAGACATGAGACTTCACTACAAATCTCAATGTATTTAATTGTAAGTTTAATCTACATTCATTTATAGATTTATTTATAGGTTAACACATGCCTATTGTCATTTTATTTATTAAAAAATGGAGGTCATATTTAAATTAAGCTTAAATTACTTGCACATATGTAATGTAATTTATATACCTATTTTTAAGCAATTTTATATCACATGGTTATATTTGTATTTACTAATATTTAACACTTTGGAGTAGTTTGTCAACAAATTTGTATTTTCCCCTCTGGGATCATTAAAATATATTCTGTTCTAATATTTCAATAACTTGAAGCACTGAAGTTGGACAGCAGAGGGAGCCCTTCTCCCAACCACTGTGATAGTTTGCTTCTGATTTCATTTAGTCAGTGATAAATAGAACTTTGCTTCTTTAGGTTTTAAATAAATAAATATGAAATGAATCGAAAAAAGTGCATGATGGGACAGAAGTGTGCAGCAGCCAAAGGTCCATTACAGTGATTTTATTGTTCAGTATTATCTGTACAGAGTGGTAACTAAAGAAATGGCATGGTCAACGTTTCTGGTTCTGTTGGACTTAGACCAGGCAGATTCTCTGCCAAGGACATGATCAAATACATCAGAGCTGTGTCCACGTGTCCAACAGCAACACAGCAGATTAGCTTTCATTTTATAGGAGCAGATCTCAGAATACAGCAGAAAACATAGATGGGAAGGAAACAGGTTCCAGACGTAGCTGGAACTGAACAGCTGCAGGACAGGACAGATATCTGGAGCAATTAATACAACTAACATTCCTGGAGATACAGCAGAAGTTGACATTTGGGAAACCTATCCTCAGAGATTTGTTACTTTTTGATTTGCATGAAGCTGACATGCAAACACATCCAATCAGGCTTCATCTCTCCACAGGACAGCTAATCAATCAGGAAACAGCTCATGGCAAACAGAACCTTTGGAAAACATAAAAACTTAAACAGGACTTCACCGTCTAAACAGGTCCACACACTGTTTCACAGATGGAGAAATAACTAAATCAAAGGAGAAACAGTAAAGTGGCTACTAGAAAATAAAAAGTGTAAAGCAATAAAATAATACACAGGAAATGACATAGTGGCTCATGTGGTTTAGTTTGGGCTGATCTTTGGCTGGAAATCACAAGTGATCATCAGGATCCAGTCAGAGAATCAGAAACACATTTACTGAATCAGGAAACAAAGTCCAGTCGCTTTTTAAAACATTATCAAAATTAAAAAGGAAAGGCTTTCTTCCAGGAAGGTTTAAAACATTTATGTACATGGAAGCCAGCAGACGGGTCCAGGTCCAGTTTCATGTCCAGGTCTTGGTTTGGGTCCAGTTTCGAGTCCAGGTCTGGGTTTGGGTCCAGGTCTGGGTTTGGGTCCAGTTTCGAGTCCAGGTCTGGGTTTGGGTCCAGTTTCGAGTCCAGGTCTGGGTTTGGGTCCAGTTTTGAGTCCATGTCTGGGTTTGGGTCCAGGTCCAAGTCAGCTGGTCTGTGTGATGACTGCTGGCAGGAGAGCAGGAACTGAGACTGAAAAGTTAGAGGTTAGAAAACCTCATCACCTAAAAACATGTGGAATGTTCACAAACACCACCATGCTGGTACTGGTTGCTCAGGCCCAGTGGGTTCTTCACACTGCAGAGCACGATGAGGAAGAACCTTCCTAACATGATGGATCGCTTCAAACAGGGAAAACATCAACTTCACACACCGTGACACATCACAGTCCGCCGGGGAACATCAGGACTCTAAATGATAGCGGCGGGGAACATACTTCTAAAGAAGAAGAAAACCTTTTGGGAGAAGTTTGTTCCAATGATTTCTGAAACTTTCTGGCCTTAAATCACTTTTTCTTTTTTTTTCTTCCTCCAATTTGGAGTAAATGGTTCACCAACCGGTGCACCGTAACCACCTGTGAGGCTTCAGTGAACACCGTGGTTCAAGTTGCTCTAAGGACCAGTGTGTGTGTCAGCAGGGTTTAAGCTGACACACACACACACACACACTGCTTACAGGTGTATGGTACTTGTGTCCACAGTTGCAATGGATACAGGTACGAGGAGAGCTAAACATGGAGGATAGAGAAGCAGTCTATTCCAGGTTCCCAGCCTTGTTTGTCTCCAAGTTAATGAAATGGAGCAAACTAACAGACCAACAGCGGCAACGAGCCACTGGCCATGAAGACACTAAAGATCACAGCGAAGGAAAGAATAAGAAATGACAAAAACTGTTTGAATGAAAAGTGTTGCTATGTTACACCGCACCCTGAAAGAAAAGTCAGAGCAGCACAGAGGACCTTATCATGGCTCCTGGGTTGGAAGATTCTGCTCTTTAGGGTCACAAAACAAAATGGCCGCCCTCAGAAAAAGTCAGATGTTAATGACAGGCTGGAGGAACAGCCAGCGCAACAGAAAACTCTATTTCTGTTACTTGGTATTTTTGGATGTTAGTGCACACACACACGCATGCACACACACAGGGGGATTGTGTGTGCACATGAAGTGAAATGTGTGTGGGCACAGGCAGACAGGATGTGGCTTTGAGTGGGACGAAATAGCAAAACATGCAGATTCATTCAGTGGAGAAAAGTCTTAACAGTCAGAGAGCAGCTCAGCCTGGACCAGGGCAGAGCTGGAACTGGAGGGTTGCAGGTGGAGCACGGGGTGGAGCCTCCACCCTCTGCTGCTCAGCGGTCCATCATGCTCAGGATCATCTCTGGTGTGAGGTCTCCATTAGCAGCAGAAGCTGCTGTTGTTTCCTGGTTCACAGTCACCTCCACCTCCTCCACCCCCTCACCACCACCTACTCCTCCTTCCACTGCAAGGCCTGCTCCCTGCTTCACAGAAGTCGCTGCATCACCCCCCTCCTTTTTCACTATAATGTTCTCTACTGCACCCGTCAGCTCGTCCTCCACCTGAATCATGGCAGCCACTGAAACACACACACACACATGCACACAGAGTGTGAGTTTAAGGACATGCAGTCACACAGGCCAGTAGAAGCCTAATTTCCCCCAGAAAACCATCTGAATCCAGTGGTAGGGGCAGTAAGGAAATAATAAGCTATTTTCTCTGCACAGCAAATTCTAAGCCATGTCAATGTGGAACTTTAATGCTCTGAGAATGAAAGGGGAAGTTTGCGTCTAGCGATGGAAAAATATGCAAGTCAAAATGCGTCAACACAACAAATTTAATGTGACATTTAAAAACCAATCATTTGGCAGAGTTTGGCTACTGACTTCTACAGACGGCCAAGTCTGAAATACATGTGATCGGTCTTTGTGATGAGCAACAGAAGACAGTGATCGGAGATCACCAATTATATACTTTTCAGAAAAATCGACTGATTATGATCAGAGATCAATTATATAGCCCAGTCCTACTGTCTCTATGTTGCTGACATCATTATAAGTTTTTACCATCCAGTCGTTCAGTGTGTGTTGCTCACCAGAAGAAGCAGTCTCAGCTCTGCTGGCGGTTTGGGGTTTGGGGTTCTTGGGAGGTCGGCCTCGTTTCCTCTTCACTGGAGGCTCATCTGGGGCCACAACTGGGATAACAGCAGGAGCCTGATTCAGCTCCATGCCCTCCAGGTCCTCCTCCTCCTCCTGCAGCAGTGCTGCTTCTTCCTCACCCTCATCTTCACACTCGTCTTCTTCGGGGATGTCGTCTTCTGAAGACATATAGGAATCAGAGAGATGAACACAGCATCCAGATGCTACGT